ATAAATAAATATATCTTTTTTTAAAAAAAAACTTTGACAACAAAGATTGACAATCTTAAATAGATACTTTTTTAGAACAATATAGTTTACTACAAAGATTGATCCAGGAAGAAACAAAATTTGAGTAGACCAATCATAAGTATGGAATTTTTTTTTAAGGTTTATTGATTTAATGCACACAAGAATTGGGGTATAGATCAGAGGTGGGGGTTGGTGAGAAGATTCAATAGAGACAATAGTGGGGAGCAGAACAAGCAAACCCACTGAAATACACTGGTGAGGGGAGCAGCAGGAGAGCCAGGGGAGGTCTGCTGTGCCATGTGGGTTACCTCCCTGGCTGGGGATTGAACTCATGCTTCAGTGGCCTCAGACACCTTCATAGTGCTGTGCTTTAACCTCTTGCACCATCAGGGAGAGCCCAAGTATGGAAATTTAAACAGTAATTTTTTAATCTTTTGTTTTTTAAAAAAGATTTATCTATGCATACAGAACTGGGGTACTGGCCATGGATGGAACTTGTGCTGCAGTGGCTGCCAACAATTCATAATGCCTTACTTTAACCCATTGCGCCACCAGGGAGGACCCTCTCATCACACTTTATGAGGCCTTATTACCTCAGTGCCAAAAACAAAGTCACAAAAAAGCAAACCTACAGACCAATATCAATGATAAACATAGATGCGAATATTGTCAACAAAATATTAGTAAATCAAATTTAGCAATACATTAAAAGGATCATACACTGGGCCTCCCTGGTGGTACAAGGTGTTAAGTCTATCAATCTACCCAATCTATCAACAGTTGCTGCAGCATGACTTAGATCCCTGTCCAGGGAGTAACCCATAAGGCACCGGAGACCTCTCCTGTCTCACGTGCTGCTCCCCTCAGCAGTGTATCTCTGTAGATCTGTCCTATTCCCCACTTCATATCTGGTGAATCCTTTTACCAACCACCCCCCAACCCCTGCACCTCTAGTATGCACCCCAGCTCTCATATGTATAAATAAAGTAAATCTTTAAAAAATAATCAGCAATTGGGACTTACTAATTAAATAAATCTGAAGCCACTGAAGCACAAGTACAGTCCCCGGCTGGGGAGCTGACCCACATGGCACAGTGGACCTCTCCTTTCTCACCCGCTGCTCCCCTCAGCAGTGTATTTCAATAGGTTTGCTTGTTTTGCTCCCCACTGTGTCTTTGGTGAATCTTCTCATACCTCCACCTCTGGCCTGTACCCCAATTCTAGTATGCATAACTAAATCTTTTAAAAACAAATTTCCATACTTATGGTTGGTCTCCTCAAATTTTCTGTTTCTTCCTGGATCAGTCTTTGTAAACTGTATTGTTCTAAAAATGTATCCAAAAAAACTGGCCACCCAATTAATTCAGAAGATTTGAATATCCAAAGATGTAAGATGGCCATAAGCGTATCTAATCTGGGATATCCTGTCAGCCCAGCTGGGGGATAATAAACTCCCACTCTCTCGACTATTCCCCCCCAAACCTCTCTCTGGTTTAAGAGCAACGGTCACTTTAAGAACTAGCACGCCGCCTCGCCCTCTAAAGACATCAGCTGAATCTGCGAGTCACATGATTCCTGTGTCTTCCGCCCTCTGAATTGAGGTTGCGCGCGCGACTGTAAGGCACCCAGCTGGGGTTCGGAACACTGTGCCCCCAGCCCCATGCTCCTTTTCAGTCTACTTCTGTGTGTGGCTCCACTTGGCCTGCTGGGAGAGGAGACCCGCCAGGTGAGGTTGGAGCAACAGGGGTTTCAGGAAACTACCCTCGAAGGGTGGTTGGGATCTGTAGCAACCTAGGGGCGAGGGTGGAGGGTGTCTGCATAAAAAAAAGTTTTTCAGCCTGTGGTTGGGGGCAGCCAAGAGTCCTGGGATGTGACTGTAGAGTAAGAGTGGGTGTGAGGGTTTCCTGCCTTTGTGAAGTCTGCACTCCGATTCAGCCCTGATTGACACAGGTCCAGGCAACTGTTAGATATTTTTCTTCCTCTAAGTCTCCTGCTGAGATCTCCCCAAAGGGTCAGGCCCTGCTGTACCCTCGCCTCCACAACATCTCTGCCCCTTTCTTCAGGATTCCTTTACTCCCACTCACATTCTTGCTTAGCCCTGTCTCCCTGATCCTGTTTCCATGACCCTCCACTCTTCCAATTCCAGGTGTCTCTGGAGGTCATCCCTAATTTGCTGGGGCCCCCCCAGAACCTACTTCATATCCGGGCAGTGGGCACCAACTCCACACTGCATTATGTGTGGAGCAGCCTGGGATCTCCAGCAGCGCTCCTGGTGGCCACCAATACCCCCCACAGTGAACTGAGTGTCAACTGGAGCCGCCTGCTCTCCGCTGAGCCTGCTGGCGGCTTGACGGTATTCCCTGAGGACAGCATCCAGTTTTCTTCAGCCCTTGTCTTTACCAGGGTGAGGTGGCTAGAGGAGAGACAAGGGGAAGGATGTGGAGGAGAGGGCTCACTGAATTCCAGGGAGGAGTTGAGGGCTGGGAGTTGGTGAAGTACAGTCTGGTATGAGAGCCTGGGGGTGGGGGCCAGTGAGTGGGGATGGTGATTTAGGAGAAAGGCACATTCAGGCAAGCTCACACCCACTCCCTTGCCCCTAGCTGTTTGAGTTTGACAGCACAGATGCAGCGACAAAGCCTCCAGGGAAACCATATCCCCCATACTCCTTGAGTAAATTCTCCTGGAACAACATCACTGACTCACTGGATCCTGCTACCCTGAGCGCCACTCTTCAAGGCCATCCCACAGATGACCCCACTGGGGCTTTTGCCAATGGCAGCCTGACCTTTAGGGTAAGGGTGTGGGGCATGAGAAACACTCAAAAGGCTGGCTTATGAGGGTGGGCATTAAAGAGGGGAGGTGACCCGTAAGCACAGACACCCATCTGCACCCTGTGCCTTCTCCGTCCCAGGTGCAAGCCTTCTCCAAATCCGGCCGACCTGAGCAGCCCCCACGCCTCCTGCACTCTGCGGACACCTGCCAACTTGAGGTGACCCTGACTGGGGCCTCTCCCCGGGGAAACCACTCCCTATTTGCCCTGGAGGTAGCCACAGTGGGCCAGAGCCCTGACTGCCCCACCATGGAGAAGCAGCACTCTATCGATGATGAATACGCACCTGCTGTCTTTGAGGTCTGATTTCCAGTGGACGGGCAGCTGTGTGTGTGCTGGGGTTGGGGAGGTTTAGATGGGACCCCATTAGGACCTCAGAGTTACTGAACCATGTAGCAACATTTCACTTAACTCCTTTAAGTGCTGGACCATGTGCTAAGGAATTCAGCCTAATGTCAGTCCTCAGTGGCAGGCAGAAGGGAAGGTGGAAGGTGGTGTGGTGTGATTGGGTCTCTGGAAGGTGGGAGCTGAGTGCTGGTTTACATAGTATCAGGACTGGAAAAAGACTCACTACCATCCTGCCTAACTCCTCTTTCCACAAACCAGAGATTGAGGCCTTGGTGTAAACAATCTGTGAGTTCTAGAACCAGGCATAGCACCTAGAATGACTGACTGAGGCTGGAAAGGTGAGGGAACAGAAGGTGAGGCACAGGTCGAGCTTCTCCCCCTCCCCCCTTTTTGTCTTTCTCCACAGGTGGACCAGCTGTTATGGGGCTCCCTCCCATCAGGCTTTGTGCAGTGGCGACCAGTGGCTTTCTCCCAGAAGCAGGGGGGCCGAGAATCAGCCATGCCCTGTCAAGCTTCCCCACTTTACCCCACCATGGCATACCTTCTTCCCCAGTCACCTGTTGTCCGTGCCTTCTTTGGGTCCCGGAACAACTTCTGTGCCTTCAATCTGACATTTGGGGCTTCCACGGGCCCTGGCTACTGGGACCAATACTACCTCAGCTGGTGAGTCAGCTCTTGGCCTGGGGGTTTGGGAGGTTGAAGTGAAGGAGGCCAGGCCCCTTGGCCTTGCCTCTTGAGCCTACTTACCTCTCTTTCTCCCTTTGCTTGTTCTAGGTCGATGCTCCTGGGTATGGGTACCCCTCCTGTGGACACCTTGTCCCCACTAGTCCTAGGCATCATGGCTGTAGCCCTGGGTGCTCCAGGGCTCATGCTGCTGGCAGGAGGCCTGTTTCTGCTGCTAGGCCCCAAGCGGTACTCAGAATACCAGCCCATAAATTGAGGGTCACTCTGTAGAGGGAAGGATGTTGTTGGACATGCCTTGATGTGCCTCAAACTCCATAGGTTTGAGGGTTAAAGTTCCAGCTGTTCCCTTCTCCGAGCTTGCTTTTCTGCAGAACCTCAGAAACCAGCCTCGACTTCCTTCCCATTCCAAGGAGGAGCCAGAGCCAAGATTTTATGGGAAGAGGGAGGGCTGCTCTGTGCTGCCTCTCTGCCCCTTCATCCCCATTTCCTCTGGATGGAGTGCACATCTCTCTCACCTAAGTGGAGACTTTCTGACTGACTGGTGGCCCTGGAAGGCATGAAATAGACTTTTTTTTCCCCGCAGGGTTCATGTCTCTGGGAGTGTTGTTGGGTTAGTTTGGGGCTGGTTCCAGGGAATGAGAGGGCTAGTTCACGTGTGCAGGAAAAGCCCATTTTTCTCACCAGGCCTGGTTCTTGCCCTTGCCATGGGATCAGGCCTAGGCCACGTGGAGCAGGGAGTTCCGGTCTAATCTGAAACAAGGGACACTTGAGACTGGGGCGGTGGGGGTGGGAGCAAACACAAAGAGCCAAGAAGCTCTGTGCAGTCATTTATTGTTGCTGAACACACATACACACACATTCACACGGGGTAAACAGCAGCCACTATGCCTCCAGCCACTCCCAACCACATGTGTGGACACACAACCACACTCCACCCGCAACCTCTCTTGGGACACCAGTTCCCTTATCTGATCCCCTGCCCTTAGCAGAGGTGCAACTTCTGGGCAGCTTAGAGGTGGAACATTACAGAGGCTTAAGTCAGTTGTAAGGGAGACAGCAGCTATACAGTCAGCTGAGACTAAAGAGCCTGTGAGGGATTTCGGCGGGGGCCTTCGGCCTTCCCCTGCACACTTCCCACCCCCAGGTTTCAGCAAGTCCTATTTCGATCTGATCCAGTTTTTATCCTTAGGCATAAGCAGTATTTATAGTCTCCTGGAGGCCTTCGGCTTAGAGAACTGGCCCGGAATGGGCAGATGTTGGCTGTGGTTCCGCTGCTCCCTCTCAGGGGGCTGGAGCAGTGGCAGCAGTGGGCCCTACTGACAGCTGGGAGGCAGCTCAGGAAGGAAGCACCCTGCTCCTGGTCTCGGCCCCACCCTCGGCATCCTTAAGGGATATGGCTGTCCACCTCTTTCCCTGCAAGGTCTGTTTCTGCCCTGCCAGGTCCGCAGTGGGATTCATCCCAGAGACACCCAGGCTGGAGGGCCAGAAGGCAGAGCTGCTCAGCCCCAGGGGCGGGGCCTGTAGTCTGAGGCCGCGTGGGCGTGGTCAGGGTAGTCCAGGCGGCTCTCTGCAGTGAGCATGCGCTCCGGCTCCACCAAGAACATGTAGTAGAGGTTCCACACCAGCATGGCCATCAGGGGCAGGAAGGTCAGGCCATAACCAAAGCCTCGGAAGGAGCGGCCCACAGCGAAGGTGAGCCAGTATATCAGCCTGCGGAGGCAAGAGAAGGCTCAGGTTACTCACGAAGGAAGTGCATCAGGTAACTGGCAACAGGCTGCTGAAAGGGAGAATCAGTGGTGAATGCTAATGTTCTAAAACCAGCCAATGTTGTGTATTTGAAAGAGGTGGTTCCTAGGGAAAGGAGAGGTCCTCCCCCTGCTCTGTAACCTATTTACTATATGCCAGGCATGATGCTAATTACTTTAGGGAACTACAGTCCTACCCCCTCCCCACCTCCAGCTCATTCCCACATAAGAGTATTGAGTATGATTTGGTAGGTTGTTTTAGGGGTCTAGGAATGCTCACTTTCAGTATAAATGAATGATAATAGCATACCTAGACCTACCAAATCATACCCAATGGGAATGTTGTCATTTCAGGTAAAAGGTGAAAGCTGTATTTTTAAAAAAGATTTATTTGTTTATGTGCACAAGAACTGGGGTACAGGCCAGAGGTGTGTGTGTGTGGGGTGAGGATTCACCAGAGACAGAGTGGGGAGCAGAACAGGCAGATGGACTGAAATACACTGCTGAGGGGAGCAGCAGGTGGATCAGAAGAGGTCTGCTTTGCCATGTGGGTCACCTCCCTGGCCAGGCATCAAATTCATGCTGTAGTGGCTGCAGACCCTATATCGCTTCATAGTGCTGCGCTTTAACCTGTTGCACCACCAGGGAGGGCCCAAAAGCTATATTAATTTAGACTTACCACATCTCTTTGAGGTGAGTCTATTATCCCTCTCTTATTTATATACCATCTTTTTTATTCAAAAGGGCAGATTTATAAGGGGAAAAGAAAGTGCCTGCATAGACACAGGTGAGCAGAGATCTGCTGCTTATCAAATTTTAATTAAGTGTTTTGAGTAGACCATATATAGTCATGTGATTCAAAATCCAGAGGTACCAATGATTATAGTAAAATATTACTAATTCCCACACACCCTATTTTCTCCCTACCCCTACTCCATTCCTACCCCAGGCAGCCAGTATTATGGTTTCATGTATATCAAATGACATTTTATCCATATACAGCAAATAAATTTATGTTTTCCCTCTTTTTTATAGTAGCATATACAGATTTATTTTCCCATTTGATAAATCTAGATTATTGAATATCAGTATATAAACAGCTTCCTCATTCTCTTACAGTGGCAGTACATCACATTTTATTATGCTTCTCCTTTTGCATATGAAGAAACCAAGATTACAAAGGGGTGAAATAAGACCTGTCCAAGGTCATTCATCTGGGAAATCATAAGACCATGATTTGAACCCAACCCGGTTCACCACCCTCTTTCTGGCCATCCATTTTAGAGGGACAGGGGGATAGAAGAGAGAAAGGGAACGAACTTCAAGAGGGCCTATGCCCAGAGGAATGGATCAGCCACAACCAAATTTACCCTCTTGGAAGAATGACTCAAAATAAATACCCCTCCAAGTGCGGGTGGGAGCCGCTTGCTCTTAAGGACTGTTGATTAGAAAATCAGTGTGCCTCTGCTTTTTATCTGTGAAATGAAAAGGAGGGAAGAGGAACTGCTGCTGTCTTCTGCACCATCAGGCTGCAGGCTCACATTTAGCAAATGAGCTCACATTTAGCAAACCCTAACGTGTCAGGCTGTGGTAAGCACTCTACATGAATTAACTCGTTTAATCCTTACAGTGTCATTTCATAGATGATGAAACCGGCACAAAATGCCTAAGTAACTGGGCCCTCCTTGGTGGTGCAATGGGTTAAAGTGCAGCACTATGAAGCTATTGCAGCCACTATCGCACGTGTTCATTCTCCGGGCAGAGAGCTGATCAACATGGCTCAGCAGACCTCTCCTGATCCTCCCCCTTGCTCCCCTCAGCAGTGTATTTCAGTAGATCTGCCTGTTTCTCTCCTCACTCTGTCTCTGGTGAGTCCTCTTACCACCACCCCCCCCCCCACACACACACCTCTGGCCTGTACCCCATCTCTATATGCATAAATAAATAAATCTTTTTTTTTTTTAAAGATTTATTTATTTGTGCATACAGAGCTGGGGTACAGGCCAGAGGCTCAGGGGTGGTGAGAGGCTTCACCAGAGACAGAATGGGGAGCAGAACAGGCAGATCGACGAAGTACACTGCTGAGGGGAGCAGCGGGCGGGTCAGGAGAGGTCTGCCACGCCATGTGGATCACCTCCAGGGCAGGCGGGAATCGAACTCATGCGTAAGTGGTTTTAGCTTCTCAGTGCTGTGCTTTAACCCGCTGTGCCACCAGGGAGGGCCAAATAAATCTTTTTAAAAACACTTACATAACTTTGCTGTGGTGGGAAAGAAAGGGGAGAGTGGGGAGGCCCTGGATTCCAGTCCTGCCACTGCTGCTGATTATCCTGAGCAGCTTTTCTTCCCCAGTCTGTTGTGATCCCTTCTCTGTAAAATGGGTAAGGTGGACCAAACAGTGAATGAGACTTCCTTTAGTCCCCTGATGATTTCTACCGCTTATGCCAACTTCTGAGACCAGTATTGGGCAGGAACTATTTATCCTGAGAAACATTTCCTGGGAGAAAATGGGACTGCATGGTGATCAGGAGACCGGTGGGATGGATGACCACTAGATTACACAAGATAAATTTTAACTCAACAGGAAGAATGTTTTAGCATTAGACCTACCTAGAATTTTGTATCAAAAGAGATTGAGGGGAAAGCATCTTGCATCTGACTTCAGAAATATCAATAGCATGCCTTATGGGTTAAATAGTTAACACGAAAATGCCTCTAAGGATTTCAGGTGACCTTACATTCTAAGTGAAAGGAGAGCAATGAAACTGCCACAAAAACTACTGAAGCCTCACTTTCTGCATCCAGGATAACGCCCTAAACCAGGGTCCCTCCCTATTGACAAGCAGGAGAATTTCTTGCCCAGAGGGAGGACAGGACACTAAAGGAGCCTGGGCTCTTTAACAAAGTAAACGCTGAGGAGCAGGTAGAGTGGAAGGGTTGTCAGATCGCTGAATTTGATGTAAGGTGGAAAAGAGAAGGTGAAGTCTCCAAGCACATTTGGACTGATGCAGACTCCAGAAAGTGCCTGACTGCTTCTGTAGACCCAGATGCCTGAGTCCCTGCAGCACCAACACCTGCCCACGCTTCACCTCCAGTCCCACTCACCTGGAGATGGCGAAGAGACCAGTGAGCAGTGGCAGCAGTTTGAGGGTATCTTGGGGCAGGTAGGTAGAAAGCACAGCCAGGTTGAAGAAGTAGAGAATGAAGAGCTGGACCGACTGAGCCACATATCTCCGGTGAATCTCCACCTCCCGTCGTGGCTCCCCAAAGGGCCGTAGGGCAGAAAAGCACAACAGGCTCAGCCCATACACCAGGAGCCCTAGGTGGGGATGGAGAACATGCTGGGTTAGAAGAGGCACAGCAAGTAGGAATTTGGGGGGATAGGGGTAAGGTGGTCCTGGGAGGAGACGTCTACAGGTGGCAGAGTGTGGGACACCCTGAGGGTCCAGGCCTGGTAATGGGAAAATCTGGTGGCCCAAACCAGCAACCCCTGCCCTCAGATCCAGTTCCCATATGCCCCCGTCTTTTTCATGGGGCCAGGCTCACCCATTATGATGGGGAATGTAGCGAAGACACCACAGCGCAGCGTGTAGATGAGGCGGGAGCTCATGGTAGGCAGCCGTGGGGCATCGAAGGGCAGGAAGGCGTAGGCTCCGTACAGCAGGCAGGGGAAGAGGACCAGGGCAGCTCCCATGGAGGCCACGGCCCTCAGTCTCTCACGCCCACCGCAGCTCCCACAGCCCCCACAGGAGCGTGGAGGGGGCCTCACCACTGCCTCAGCCCACTTGCGCTCAGAGGGCTCAGGGTAGGTGGCCCGGGGGGGCAGGAGGGTTCGGCGGCGTTCACCCTCCCCCTGCTCACAGCGCACAACGAGTTCCGCTGGGGGCGGCCGCTCAATGCACTGCAAGTCAATGGGCACAAAAGCCCGAGCCGCCTTCTCTGGCAGCAGATTGGCATCATCTTCAGGCAAATCCTCTAGCTTGGTGGGTGATTCTGATTCAAGGGGCTCAGGTTCAATATCCCGCCAGCCTGGAGGATCTGGAAATGGGGCACTGGGCTGGGGGACAGTCCCCCAGGGCAAGGTGGCAGCCTCACTTACTGTGCTATCTAGACCATCCTCAGCCCCCTCTCCAGCAGTGGGAGACCCAGTTGAAGACCCCATTCTGGAGTCTTCAGTTCTGGGGGACTCAGCCCCACCTTCCTCTTCTGCCTGAAGGCCATTGGGGACCAAGGCCTGGGGTGTGTTCTTCTCAGGAGGCTCTTGCCCCTTCACTTCCAGCAGAGCCAACGTTTCAGGTTCTGTCATCCTGGGGTCTCAGTTCTGGGGTCTATCGCGAGGTCATGTCACCCTGGAGGGAGCGGAGGAAAGCACTGTTACAGGCTCCTGTCTTCTGGCTTTTAGGAGATGTTGAACAGAAATGGGACTCTCCGGGGCAGCTGGCCTTATGGGTTTTAGCCCCTTCTGGGACAGAGGAAGGTGTTGAAACAGGTAGGCAGGAGGATAGTGAACAAATGAAATGGAGGCATCCTTTCGAAATCAAACACCATCCAGAAGGAGGTGAGTCAGGGGGCATGGGCCTTGTTAGCTGTGGCTTCAGCCAGCCCCCACCCACGTATTCTACCCACCTCCACCAAAACCCCTGGGGTCATGGCCTCCCTAGTGTAGAAATGGGAGAAAGAGGAGGTGTCTAGGACTTTGCCAAGCTCTTCCTTCCCATTAAAGATCTTGTGGACAGCAAAGCTGCCCCTCCCTTTCATATCTCCCCTGCTCTCTGCACGTCTCCCTTGAACTTTTCTGGCAAATAGTACCAGTGATTTGCCAACAGATCTGTCTCAAGGAACTGGAAATAGCAGGACACCCTGTCTTCATCTTCAGTCTAGGTACTTAGTTTCCAAACTTAGTCACCAGCCCACCTCACCCATCTTCAAGGGCCTGCATCTGTCCATTCTGACTTATAAATCTAATTATGGCTGTTTCCCATGTCTCCTCTACTGTCTTTTCCTCCTCCCTGTTGTCTTCCACCTCACTGCTTCTGAATGGGATGATTCCCCTCCCTCCATGACGTTAGGGGCTTCCTCTCTTTGCCATTTGAACCCATGACACCCGCTTACTTTCCATCTGGAGAGAGGCGAAGAATCCCAGGGTCCCCACCGTCAGAGCAGTCAGTCCGGGAACAAGCTGCTTAGCTCCCTGCTGGCTCTGCAAGTATTTCTCAGTCTCTCTGCCTTTACCTGTGTCTCCAAACCTGTCTGACCAGAGCAGGTGGGGCCCAATTTAAAGGGGCAGGCCCTGCCCTGCTGAATCTGCCGACAGAAAAGGCACTAGAAGAGGAGTCATCCTTTCTAAAAGTGTGGGTGCTGCTGGGCATAGATGTATGTGTTCTAGACACATGGATTTGTATGAACCCTCAGTTCAGGAAAGAAGAGGGAGACAACTAGGTTTTCACATCAAACGGTGCTCGGAGTAAGTAGGGATACCAGAAAAGAGGTGGGATTTCTACATTTATTCATTCAAATTTTTACGGAGCACCTATTAGTTAGGCAGTAGTCTAGGCACAGATGTAGAAGAGGACAAAATGATAGACAAGATCTCTGCCCTTGAAAAGCTTGTTCTGTTGGGGTAACAGAGAATAAAGACTAGCAACTAAATCATTAAGACAATTTTAGTAAGGAAATGCTTTTGACAGGGTGACATTTAAGCTGAAACCTGATCAGCAATCAGGAATGTGAGTGTTCCAAGCAGAGAAATAGTAAGTAGGAAAAACTGGCTGTTTCAAGAACGGAAAGGCTGCAACGTGGAGCAAAGTGCTGGAAGGGGAATGTATGTCCCTATTATAAACTGTAAACAGGCCTTCCAAACATCTCACCTTTTAGTTTATGTTTAAGGTTAAATAAGCTTAAAAATGGAGCTTCCATATGAGCCAGCAATCCCACTCCTAGGTATCTCTCCAAAAGACACAAAACACTGATTCAAAAAGACACCTGCACCCCCATGTTTATTGCTGCTTTATTTACAATAGGAAAGACATGGAATCAATCCAAATGCCCAAAAGTAGATGACTATTAAAAAGATGTTACATATACATAATGGAATATTATTCAGCAATCAAAAAAATAAACACATGCCTTTTGCAGCATTATGGATGGAGCTGGTAAAGGTCATGCTTAGTGAAATAAGCCAGAAAGAAGAAGAAAAATACCAGATAGTTTCACTCATAACAGGAGCATAAAGGATCGGAGGAGGGAGATAATACTAATGAACAACTATATACCAGAAACATTTTATGGAGGTGGGGTGGGGAACGGGTGAGGGTGGAGTGCATGGGACTATGGTGATGGCACGTGGGTGATTTGGTGATGGGAAGCCCACGGGGATTACAACTGAGATGGGAAAAGGCACAAAATTATGTAAAAACAAACTATTTTAATAATAATAATAATAACAGCAATGATAATAAAACAGGACACTAAGTGACTTTTGCAATGTGAGGATCAGGGGCCAGAAGGGAGGGAGTGGCTTCTCATTCTTATAGGATCTTACTGCTAATACAATTTGAACTTTATGAGGGCAGGGACAGTGTCTGCATGACTCTTCTGTGTCTCTGGAACCCAGCATGGTGTCTGGAAGACAGCAAATGTTCAATAAATATTTGCCGGACTGGTGAGGCATGGATGTGCAAGTGGAAATCTTTGGGAGGGGGAGCTGGGAAGGACGAGGTACTTGTACAAGAGTCACGTCTTAGAGGCCCCTATTCTCATGTTATGCTCAGCTGTATGGAAACCTTAAGACTTCTTTGCTTGTTTATTGGAGGGAAAAGGAGAATTGGAATTACTCTAACCAGTAAAACAGAGAGGGTAGGCTCAAGTGGAGGGAGGGTGGGGGGAGTGAAGGCTGAAGGAGGGACCAAGCGATCACTGTAGGACAAAGCAAAGTCATGCTCCTAGCTGTGAGCCCATCTGCCCCAACCTCCTCAGTTAGCTTCAGCCCTCTCGCTGGGTCCACTGTCCGTTCTCTGGTAGCTTTGTCAATAAAGTTTTTCTCAAGGGCTTGGAGAAGCCGGAAAGAGGCCAAGTCCGCCCAGAGTTAGTTCTGGCAACTTCCTGGAGGGAAAACGAGTTTCGCGAGATTTGGCAGGAGCAGGCCACTGGCCCGCAACTTTGCAGCTGTTATCGCGAGGTTTGGCAGGCGGAGGAGGGGCTCTCGCGGGCAGCCGCCTCACAGCGATGGCGGCCGAGCAGGGCCGGCGGCTGTGGCTGCTGCGGCTACACCCCGAGACGGCAGTGATGGCGGTAGTGGTGGGTGGCGGGGGCCTGTGACCGGGAGCCGCCCCCGGATCCGGGCACCATGAGCCAAGGCCCCCCCACAGGGGAGAGCAGCGAGCCCGAAGCAAAGGTCCTCCACACTAAGCGGCTTTACCGGTGAGAGGGGCCGGGGCGTGATGAGTGTAGCCGCCGACGGAGGGGGGAGGGGAGGGGGACAGCCAAGGGCGGGGCCTCCCAGGCGGGCGGGGTCCGATTGCCAAACTTGAGTGCGGGGAGGGAAGAACGTGCACCTTTGTGGGGAGCGGGGACTGGAGTGGGTTGGGGGGGACGGGGCCCGTCACCCGGCGAGGAGCTGAAGGAAGGAATTGGGTGGGTGGGAGGCGTGCAGGGAGAAGCACGTGGAGGAGTTCCTCCGCAGTGAGCGTCGGGCGGGAACTGGGCTTTGCGCAAGTGGGCTAAGAAGGTGGAATTGGTACCTGGAGGGGTTAGGAAGGTGAGGATGGGGGTCACTGATGGAGAAAAACCCGGAAGGGAGGGAAGGGTGCTTAGAACCCCTTTAGGATCTACGGGAAAGAGCCTTGGGCTGACATCAGGAGTCTGAAGTTCAGGTCCTTGCTTTACCACTCTGTGTGCGTGACCTTGGGCCTCAGTTCCCGTATCCTTAAAAGGAGAGATCTGGACTGCATGTGCTGTGAATGCCCTGTAAGCTAATTTGGGGGAATCTGAATGAAAAGAGAGGCTGCAAGTGTAGTTGTGATGAACTGGAAGTCCGTTTACGGTGTTCTTAGGTCACGGGTACCCATTTTGGGGCATCTCGGGACTCCTGAAAATCCTGTCTTACTCTTATAATGATGCCAGTCCATTCTTGGTTTCTGATCTTCACAGTGCCACTCACATCCTTGCAGTCTCATTTTTGTCTCTTTATTCACTTAGGAACAGAGTAGTAGGAGTTCTTCCCACCCTGGGTGGGAGATTTTTTTTGAATGGGGCAGCTGGAACTGGGGCTTTGGAACTGGATCACAATAGAATAAGCATAGAGGTCAAATTGATTTTTTTGCTTTCTAGTTGGGAGTGGGGCTTGAAGTTTTCATTTAGCTCAGCCTCTCTATATAGAGGTGTTTGCATACCACTACCCTAAAAGTCCTGGGTCCCCTCTTGGCAGTGAAATAGTCAAGAGCTTGTCGACCTTTCTTCCCTTGATAGACATCCTGTCTGCTCTGGCTTTGCAAGCCAGAAGGCAGAGGAGGGGAGTATGGTCTTCCAAAAATAGAAAAGTGAAACAATCCAGTTGCCTTTGGGCTCCACTGTAGGCTGCCCCAAGCAGTCTCTGGGTGAATAAGGAGTTATCTGGGGGCTGTACGTGTGCCTCATTATGCTGCCAGGTGTCACTGTTGCTTGTCAGTGTCTGCTAAATTCCTTTACCTCCGACTTTTGGTCATCCTTCTATTCCTTCTCAAATCTAGTTCTTTCTCAGCCCACTGCCCCCAGAACTGAATGACTGGTGTGTTTGCATGTGAGGCTTACATGTGTGCACATGGGTGTCTCTAATTGCGTTTGGTCGCTTTGAGCAGGGTGGAAATTTAAGGTTGTGGTTGCTGTTTTTATAATGTATTGTAGCAGTGGTGATGTGTGGAAAGAACTGGGTGTGGGGGAGGAGGTCTGAGTTCTCTGCCCAAGATAAATGTGTTACTAGACTATTAAGCACTTACTTTGAACTTTAGTAAATTTGGGGAATTCCCATAACAGAGAAGGGATGTTGGAAGGGATACATACATCACTTAATTAGGTCCATTAACTTTTTTTAGACATATTTTTCTTTTTCTGATAATGTGCTAACCCTGAGATTATAATAGTGAGACACAAAACTAGTTTTTGTGCATTTTCTAAAGGAGATGATAGTTTAGTGGAAGAGTTTATGACCTGATAGGAATTGGAGAAAGAAATGCTGCGTTCTCTCACATTTAAGAATTTGCAATTAGAAACTCCTTGAGCTGTGGTTATTATTATTATTATTATTTTGGATTAAGACTCTTAAGGAGAATGCCCTCCCTTGTGGTGCAAGGGGTTAAAGCACAGTACTGTGAAGATATTACTATACCTGACCCACATGGTGTGACAACTCTCCTGTCCCGCCCACTACTACCCTCAGCAGTGTACTTTGTTAGTCGGCCTGTTCTGCTCCCTGCTCGGTCTCTGGTGAATCCTCTCACCCCCTACATCTCTGCCCCATACCGCAGTTCTTGTATGCATAAATAAATAAATCTTAAAAAAAAAAAAGTCTTAGCATAGGGCCTCCCTGGTGGTGCAAGGGGTTAAGTCTCAGCATTATGAAGTTATCATGCAGCAGCCTGAGTTCAGTCCCCTTGCTAGGGAGCTGACCCACGTGGCACAGCAGACCTATCCTGTCTTGGCGCAGTGCCCGCCTCCCTTCTATTTAATTCGATCTCTCCATTCTGCTCCCCACTTTGTCTCTATTGAATCCTATCACCTCTCTGGCCTACATGGCATCTCTTGTATGCGTAAATAAGTAAAATTAATTTTTTTTCCCCCTTTAAGTCCTAGCATAGAGGGCCTCCCTGGTGGTGCAGGAGTTAAAGTGTCAGTGTTATCAAGCTATCGTCAGCCACTGTGGTGGCCTGAGTTCAATCCCTGGCCAGGGAGCTGACCTACATGGCGCAGCAGATCTCTCCTGTCTTGTCTGCTCCCCCCCCAGCAGTGTTTTTCACTATATCTGCCTGTTCTGCTCCCCACTCTGTCTCTGGTGAATCTTCTCACCCCCACACCTCTGGCCTGTATGCCAGTTCTTGTGTGCTGCCATAAACCTTTAAATAAAATAAACCTTTAAATAATAATAATTCATACCACTATTGTTTTAGTGAATGCCTACTATATGCCAATTTTGAATATAAATTATTTCATATGATCTTTACAACAGTCCCCTGAGATGACTACTATTTTTATCATCATCTCCAGTTTTTTTTTTTATATGAAAGCTTAAAGATACAAGGTAATTTGCTCAAAGTTACAGTTAGTAAGACACAGCCAGGGATTACACCCTTGATTTTCTGCCTCACTTCATAGTCTGTGCCCTCCCACTGGAAGAATCTTCTTTCCCATATCATGGGATTTCTCTGCTTTCCCATAGTTGATGTTTTGGGCAGAGTAGTTATGGTAGACTGTCCTGTGTTTTTGGGAGGTGCCTAGCAGGACTACTAAATTCCAGCAGCAACCCCCTTACTCCAAATTGTGACAACTAAAAATGTCTCCATCAGCTTTGGGAGGTGCCTAGCAGGACTACTAAATTCCAGCAGCAACCCCCTTACTCCAAATTGTGACAACTAAAAATGTCTCCATCAGCTTTGGGAGGTGCCTAGCAGGACTACTAAATTCCAGCAGCAACCCCCTTACTCCAAATTGTGACAACTAAAAATGTCTCCATCAGCTTCCCACTCCTAGGTATCTACCCAAATGACACAAAAACACTGATTCAAAAAGACACCTGTATCCCCATGTTTATTGCTGCTCTATTTACAATTGGAAAGTCATGGAAACAGCCCAAATGCCCAAAAGTAGATGACTGGATTAAAAATATGTTGTGCATATACACAGTGGAATATTACTCAGCAGTGAAAAAATAAACACATGTCTTTTGCAGCAACATGAATGGAGCTGGACAGGATCATGCTTAGTGAAATAAGCCAGAAAAAAAAGGAAAAATATCAGATAGTTTCACTCATATCAGGAGTATAAAGGACCAGGAGAGAAAATAATAATAATGAACAACTATATGTCAGAGACATTTTATTGGGGTGGAGTGGGGAATAGGATCAAAACGGTGGACGGAGGGAAGTGCCCTGGACTATGGTGATAGCACATGGGTGAGCTGGTGATGGGAAGCCCACGGGGATTACAACTGAGATGGAAAAAGGCACAAAATGATGTAAAAATAAACTATTATATTATTATTTTTTTTATTTAAAAAAAAAGTCTCCATTACTGCCAGATGTTCTGGGTATGGGAGTCATTCTGCTGTGTCAGAATGGAAAATGTATTCATCTTGTTTTGTATAGTGCCCAGCCTGTGGCTTTGTTATATCTCCATTCCTGATTCTTCAGCTTTTCCTTCTTAGCTTTTCTTCCTAGCATCTTAGGGCCTTATGTGTAGCTCAAGGACTGTTTGCTTATATTTCCCTACAGGGCTGTGGTGGAGGCTGTGCATAGACTTGATCTCATACTTTGCAACAAAACCGCTTATCAAGAAGTATTCAAACCAGAGAACATTAGCCTAAGGAACAAGTAAGCTACAGATTTCTAAATCACAATCCTCACTTTCTCTATCCCTCTATATAGATACATGTGCTCACTTACGCCTGACCTCATGGCACTAGAATGGGTTGTAAAGTCTCTGACCTTCCTAAGAAGGCCACTCTTATCTGCAGCTACCCCATTTAATAGACTGATGCCATAAAGATGGCATATGAATGAAGAAAGTTGGCTGTAGTAAAGAAAAAAGGTTAGGAAGAGAATGACTTATTGAGGGTCTCCCTCGTGGTCTCCGTTAAGTCTCAGTGGTATTACCATATGGTCTCATTTTGATCCCTGGCCAGGGAGCTGACCCATATGACACAACAGACCTCTCCTGTCTCACCCACTGCTCCCCTCAGCAATGTAATTTAGTAGATCCACCTGTTCTGCTCCCCACTCTGTCTCTGGTGAATCCTCTCACCAGAGTGACTCCCTGCACCTCTGGGTTACACCCTACTTCTGTGCAAAAATAAATAAAATCTTTTCATTAAAAAAAAAAAAGTGCTATCAGTGACACTTTTTAAAAAAAGAAAAGAAAGTGATTTATTGAGATTCTTACTACCCTGACTCTCTTCTGGGGGTCTGTTCCCTTTCAAGACTGCAGTTATGGGTCATACTGACCCAGGATATCTCTTGGGAGACTTAGAGTGCGTTGATTTGGCAATGCCTCCTTGCCCTTAGTTCTTGTATCCCCCTCAAGGAATGGGCATTCCCTCTCATATTCTCTATACCCCGCCAGGCTTCGTGAACTCTGTGTCAAGCTTATGTTCCTGCACCCAGTAGACTATGGGAGGAAGGCTGAGGAGTTGCTGTGGAGAAAGGTATACTATGAAGTTATACAGCTTATCAAGACTAACAAAAAGGTAAGGGACATCCTGGAACTTGAAAAGAAATTTGTGTTAAAAGGGGAAGCTAAAGGAAGGAAGAGATAGAAAAGAAAGGGGGGAAGAGCATGGTTGGAGATAGGGGAGCCAAAAAAGAGATGGTAGAGGGCATCCCTGGTGGCACAGGGGGATAAGTCTCAGCACTATGATGCTGTTGGCAGCCACTGCAGCACAAGTTCTATTCCTGGGGCCAGGGAGGTGACCCACATGGCTCAGCAGACCTATCTTGTCTCACCCACTGCTCCTCTTAGCAGTGTGTTTCAGGGTGTGCTATTCCCCACTCTGCCTTTGGTGAATCCTCCTCTCACACACACCCCTCCCCCACACCTCTGGCCTATAATGTCAGCTTTGTATGCATAAGTAAATAAAATACATTTTAAAGACAAAAATAAAATGTTACATTATTTATAAAAAATACATGAACAAGCTTTGCTTTAATGTGAAAAAAAAAAAAAAAAAAAAAACAAGGGACGGGCAGGGGATCCTAAGCTTGTTGTTGAACCAGCCCCTTTCCATTCTCAATCTCCAGCATATTCACAGCCGGAGCACCTTGGAATGTGCCTACAGGACCCACTTGGTTGCTGGTATTGGCTTTTACCAGCATCTCCTTCTCTACATCCAGTCCCACTACCAACTTGAACTGCAATGCTGCATTGACTGGACCCATGTCACCGACCCCCTCATAGGTCAGTGAAATCTGAAAGGTGGACTTGAGGAGCAAATTCATATGCCTGTACCTCTGGCCTTCTTACTCTTCAGAGTCCAGGTAGCTTGTGGCCCAGCCAGGCAGAAAGAATTCTAATAAGACCTACAAATGGTTCATGAAGTTTGGATTTATCCAAGTAAGTATATGAGTTAAGATAAAAACCTTAAGGAAGGGAAAAGACCTAGGATGTAGACTGAGGTGGAGTCAAGGGGAAGGGTGGGATGGAGAGATCTCTAGAGTAAGTCTGGCACTGGAAGATGGTATTTATGCATTTCTTTTCTTCCAGTTGAATTTGACTGGCACTGTTTAGTTTAACTTTAGAAACTTGTTTTCCAATGTTTGATAAAAGTATTGGAATTTTCAGAAATGTTGGATAATCCCTTTTCAGCCACCTGAGTACTGGTGACTCTAGTTTACTGCCTTTTCTATTTGGTAGTTTCTCTTCAGTTCAGTCACCCTTTAGAGCTCCTTCACACTTCTTCCAACTCCTCTACCTCTTGCTTAGCCTCTCTCAGCCCTCATGAGGTCATAGACTTTATGTATCAGGACCCAATGTTGTATTTTATTTGTTTAAAAAAAAAACAACAGCAGGAATCTGGGGTCTCCCTTGTGGCGCAGGGGTTAAACTCTCAGCACTATCAAGCTATCACCAGCCATTGTGATGTGAGTTCAATCCCCAGCCAGGGAGGTGACCCACATGGTGCAGCAGACTTCTCTTGTCTATTGCTTCCCTCAGCAGTGTATCCTCCTATACTGTTCCCAACTGTGTCTCTGGTGAGTCCTCTTACCACCCCTTGCACCTCTGGTCTATACCCCAGTTCTTGTGTGCAGAAATAAAATTTAAAACAAATTTTTCCTTTTTTTTTTTTAAAGGTGGGGAGGTGCCTCCCTGGCAGCACAGGGCTTAAAGTCTCACCACTGTCAAGCAGTTGCTAGCCACTGTGGCATGAATTTTCATCCCCAGCCAGGGAGCTGACCCACATGACAAAGCAGACCTCTCTTATCTTAGTGGCTGCTCCCCTCAGGAATGTGTTTCAGTAGATCCACCTACTCTGCTCCCTACTCTCTTCCTGATTAATCCTCTCGCCCCCTACTCCCTACCTCTGACCTACTCCCCAGTTCTTGTATGCATAAACAAATAAAAATAAATTGTTAAAGAAAACACAAACCAGCAATCTGAGAAAGGCTTCATAGGCCAGAGGCGTCCATGAGCCTAATGAAAAATGAAGAACCTTACTTCAGAGGGTCAATTCCCCAGACCATTCTAGTTTTTCTCCTCTTTAATGTTTTCTCCATTAATTTAATTAAATCTCTCTATAGGAAACATTAGGAAGGGCTTTTCAGCTGGGAGCTACTACCTCAGAACGCGTGCAAGGCAGGGTAGGTGAGAGGACGGTCTGGAGCCAGGCTGCCTTTTTGTGTTGGCGCTGCCACAAGATTACTCACTGTGTGACTTTGATTTCCCCAGCTGGAAAATGGGAGTATTAAGAAATAACTACCTCGTGGGGTTGCTGTGAAATTAAGTTGATGTTGTAAAATTCTTAGGCCAGTACCTGGCACATGGGAAAACTGACTCCCAGAGAGCTCAGATTCAAAGTTTCAGGCTGCTGTGTGAAGGGAGAGAGGAAAGCCTGGGATCATTGGGTTCTGGCCACCATCGGTCATCAGGCAAGGCAAACTTGCTGTGTCGACTGCACATGCATACTGTCCACTAGTTGCCTTCTCCATGGACCTCTGTCACTTGGCAGAAACCAGGAGTATTTATTTTGGCCTCATTCACATTCCATTCTTTCTGGACAAGTTTCCCATCTTTACCCAAGCTTTTACTTTGCACCCAGAGCCTCTACCCTGGTCATCCATGGCTGTCCTGACACTTGAGCCTCATATCTTCCTATAATGACCTTTCCCATGACCTCACCCAGAAGCAGTTCTAGACTGACAACCCTAGCCTCTTCCATTTCCTTTCAGTCCAGTGAGTGAAGCCTACCTATGTGCCCCTGTGAACTTGAATGTCCTGTATGGGTGTCTTCTCTGCCTCATAAGACAATGTTCTAAGACTAATCCTGGATTCTTGATCTCCTTTCTCTACCAAGGAAGGGCTTTTCCCACAGATGGGGCAAAGGACAGGCTCACAACACACACACACACTCTCTTTCTTTCTCTCTCTCTCTCTCAGGATGCAAGAAGCCAGTGTCGGCCTCGGGGAAGGAGATGGATTGGGCACAGATGGCATGCCACCGATGTCTAGTGTACCTGGGGGATTTGTGTAAGAATATGAACCTTTCCTTTTCTCTGTTTTGGGCTCAGCCTGCTTCATTTGTTGGTACCACACTTTACATGATTAGGAAGCAGGAGGAGTTTGGCTTCTGATAACTTTTTCCCTCTAGTCGGTTTTCAGTGATCCCTTTTCACTTCTCTTCTGCGAGTCAGAGAGAATCCCAAATACAGGAGAAAGGAAGATGAGCTTTGAGAAAGTTAGGGTTAGGAAATTTTAGTTAGAATTCTTTCTCTTTAGTTTTCTTTTCAGATTCCTAGAGGAATTGAAGTTAGTCTTCAGGGAGGAGTTAACATGCCTGACAAATGTTTCTCAGAATGGAAAATTGTTTTCTTGCTTTATAACCTCTGGGCTCTAGTCTTGATAGACAAAGTTTCCTCATTAGACTGATGGTGTGTGGTTGTTGGATACATTAGTGTTCACTGAGACCCTTCCCCCTCCCCTAACCCATTCCTGGACCCCCCCCCTCATAGGCATTATGAACAGAGAGAACCAGTGTTTCACATTTGACTGACCAAGAGTCACTAATTATGTCTTCTCTAGAATAGAGTGGTTGCAATCCAGGACTAAATGTTAAAGAGCTTTCCAAGCAATTACATAGACTGCAGCTCCCCCTCATTGGGAAGAGATAATCAAGAAGAACCTGTTTCTTTTATAAATACTAAATATTCTTTACATTTTGAACCTACCAGCAAGGAAGAGAGAGTTGAACAATTTGCCCATAGTCATGCAGATATAAGACTGTGCCAGAGACCCAAGCAGCCCTGCCTCCTGGCTCAGGTATCTTCCTCCTAGGCTCATATTACAGCTCCGCAGAGTGGACTCCCAGGCAAGGGGAGTTATCTCTGGAACCTGGAGTTACGTGTTCCCTTTCTCCTCTCTTCTGCAGCGCGCTATCAGAATGAATTAGCTGGTGTAGACACTGAGCTCCTAGCTGAAAGATTTTACTATCAAGCCCTGTCAGTAGCTCCCCAGATTGGTAAGTGGACTTGTTTGGGTCTCAACCCAGAAGCATTTTCCAAGGGGAAGAGGATATTGGGTAGATCATACTCATCTCCCCTAGCTCCTTACTATATTCATCTCTTTCTTACTCTACCTCAGTTGTGTATTCTATCCTTATGTAACCTAGTCAGGAGATGGTGGGAAGGGAAGAGATATGAGAAAATTTTCAACTGAAGAGGGAGGCAAAAAAGCAAGAAAAGAGACGATAGCTTCCTTGAGGGGTCTCTGTAGAAAGAAGCTGCTTCTGCTGCCCCTGTGGGAGACACAGTGCGAGGAGGACTAAGGGACTGCAGGGACGGATGGGGGCAGCATGTAGGGAGAACTCAGGTGAGAAGCTGGACTGCAGTAGAGGAGAGGGCTCCACGGAGTGCTGCCAGCCTGGACAGACCACGGCTGGCGTATCGTCAGTGCTGAAATCCTTGGCATGCCAGGTGGGAAGAAACTGGTAGGAAGTGAGATAAGGCCAGTAACCTCGCTGAGGGAACAAGATTAGGCTGCTAATCCCGACACTGTCACCTGCAGACCTAACTCTTGTGAATTCTCAGCAACTTTGGGTGAGGATATGGCCACTGACTGCCTGTTCTTTTCCAGGAATGCCCTTCAATCAGTTGGGCACCCTTGCAGGCAGCAAGTACTATAATGTGGAGGCCATGTATTGCTACCTGCGCTGGTGAGTATTTGCTCTTTCTCCAGCCTTATTTTCATAACTATACCATTCCAGTTTGTTTGCTCTTTTCCTTCCCTCCCTTGCTTGCATAGCTCCAGACTTAGATAACTAGAGGAATGGTAAGATCGAGGAATTCCCTAGCCAGGTTCCCAACACAGGCCTGCTACTTTTCACACAGTCCCCTGGATTGTAGGTACTTGGGCAGCTAAAATAGTTGTTCACTGTGTAGAACACAGGATTGCTATTTTCCTGAAGAAGGAGGAATTTTGATATTGATAAAATGTGACCATAGTTGGAACTCTCCATGGTGGTGCACCAGCTTAAAGCACAGGACTATAAAGCCATCCATAGCCATTGCAGCATGAGTTCAACCCCCGACCAGGGAGGTGACCCACATGGCGTGACAAACCTCCTGACCTTCCCGCTGCTCCCCACAGCAGTGTATTAGAGCACATCTGTCTGTTCTGTTACTCATCTGTTTCTGGTGAATCCTCACACACACACCCCACTCCCTCACACCACTGGCCTGTACCTTAGTTCTTATATGCATAAATAAATAAATCTTTTTTAAAAAATGTTACTGAAGGATCCTCTGATAAGGGCTTCAAAGCTGTGGAACTTCAGTGTCTTGAGGTAACAGACATGACAGCCTGTCATGGACAAGCGTAGCATTGTAACTGCTACCTTAGATTTGACACTCAGAATTCAGTAAAAGAGTTTTTCAGGGCACACAAAATTGATTAGGCTTGGGTCACTGATTTGGTCATCATAGCCAAATGCATATGAGCATGATAGGTGAACCAAAACGACTGCCACGAAAACTGGGGAACCTACTATTGTCGCCTAATCAGGCCTGAAGTCTCAGAAGCCAAGTTATTCATAGAAGAGATTTTATACACTACACACACACACATACTCTGTCTCTCTTTCTCTCCCCCAGTAGGAGAGATACCATGATCTCACACACACAGTCTGTCTCCTCTCTCCCCTGGTGGGGGAGGTACCATGATCACAAAGGTGGTTTTCTGAGGGCGAATCTTGTTCATTCATTGCACACCAGGGTGCTGACCCTTCTGATTTCCCCAAACACACATGAGACTTGACTGTGTAATTTGTGTTAGTGGGATACTGTGTTCATGCTCACTCTGGGGGGAAAGAAAGAGAAGTTGTATAGTGAATTGAGGCCCAAAGCAAAGATAATAAGGTGGTCTTCACAGTTTAAGTGGCCAAATACTTAAGTGTGAAGTAAAATATTTCTCTTTGCCTTATAAACCTATGAGCCATAGTCCTTGTTTCACCTAGTTAAACTAGTATTCCTTCTATCAGCATAGTATTTGTTTTCTGCTCATCAGTACAGGCTGGTGTCCTGTACCACTGTATTCATTTTGAAGCGTGATTGCTAGTTATCTGTGGCATCTTCTCCATTCCTGTGCTTTCAGAGCACAGAGCTCCCTTCCCCCCTTACATGTCATGCTTCTCTCATCGTGTTTATGAACATGATTTTTGGGTGAGTCATTTCCAAAGAGAGCCACGCACATCCAGGTTTGGGATATGCCCACTAAGGGTCTATCCTGCTATGTAAACACAATGCCACTCTTGGTTTGTTGCTTTTGGGTAGGATTTAGTCTGTGGTCCATCGTTAGCGCTCAGTGGATCTTAAGCTCTGACATGTTAGGAGGGTTGTTTATCTGGACCTCTTTCCCTCTATGTAGGCTCAGGGTCTCTCCATGTGGTCTCTTCCTCAGGGTAGATGGACGTCTTACATGGTGGCTAAAGGCTTCAGCAGTGCATAATGACCCAAGAGACTTAGAATCTGCTGGTTCCTTGAGGCCTGGGTCAAGAAATCACTTTTTGTCAGGTCACTTCTGCAGTATTACTCAAAGCAGTTGTGTTGTCCCTCTACCAAGATTTAGGAGGAGGAGGAGATACAGAACCTACTTCACAGTGGGTGGAGTATCATCAAATACCTGGACTATCTTTACTTCACCCCAGACAGTTTTTCTGGTTTCTTACTAGCATTCACCTGGTCTGCTTTGCTTGTTTCTAAAAAGCAAGACCAAAGAAGAGATAGTGAGTGGCTTATAGTGTAGTATTGAGGTCTTAGATTGGGCTGAGACGGTGGTGCCAGGTACTAGCTATGTGAACTGGGCAACATACTTGTTCTCTCAGGTTCTGCTTGTTCATTGGTAAATGTGGGCAGTGTTATGGTACAGTGCCCGACAGTGAGGTGCTCAGTGCAAATCTGCATTCAGTGAGTATTGTGAGGATTAGCTGAAATAAAGTGTAAATATTCTCACATGTAGTAAATGCTTCTTACATGTTGCCTATTATTAAGTGCTCTCTGCTTTAAGAAAAAGTTGGAGGAAAACTTATTTCAGAGATGATGACTTTGGAACAGAGTAGGATTGATTGTCCTATTTCTAGATGAAGACATTTTTATTCTGCTTAATCTGGAAATTGTATATTAGGAAAGATAGGTTGAAATGCCTCATGCTGTTTTGTTTTACCCTGAGTGTGTACATGGAAAGTGGGAGACAGTCTATGTTTACTAGAAACATTGTTCCCCGAAGCCCTGGTAGAATGACATTTTCCCCTTTTCACTTCTTCCCACCAAGATTTGGTAGTTCACCTCTGTTTATTTCAGCATCCAGTCAGAAGTGTCCTTCGAAGGGGCTTATGGGAACCTCAAGCGGCTGTATGACAAGGCAGCCAAAATGTACCACCAGCTGAAGAAGTGTGAGTCTCGGAAACTCTCTCCTAGCAAGAAACGGTGAGTGGGGCCTGCGGGGAGGAGGGTTCTTCTATAGTTGGTGCATTTGGGTCCCAGGCACTCTGGACTGCTTACCATTTACCTCAGGTGCCTCTCATTTCAGGTGCAAAGACATTAAAAGGTTGCTGGTGAACTTTATGTATCTGCAAAGCCTCCTGCAGCCTAAAAGCAGGTGAGTGAGAGAGTGTAAAAAAACCCCACCCAGGTGGCTCTTCTACAGAAGGGGATTTGAGGCAAGGAGCAGCTGTTGAACTCTGCCTCTCGGTTGAAATTCTGTAGCTAGCGCATCCTTCCTTGGCTTCCCTGACTGCCCAAGAGTTCTGTGCCTGTTCTCCAGAGCAGCTCACTCTGGCACAAAATGAGATTGAAGGAGTGGCTGAGTGGGAATCCAACCCCCATTCCTTGCACACTGCCCTTCCCGAGCTGTTTTTTCTGCTTTATAGATCAGTCCAGCACTGAGTCTCCCACTGCTCCCCCGGTGCCTCACTTCAGGATTCCCAACTCTTCCCCTGACCCAGCACCCATCGCTGACCTGTTATTCCCCCTCCATAGTTCCGTGGACTCAGAGCTGACGTCACTTTGCCAGTCAGTCCTGGAGGATTTCAACCTCTGTCTTTTCTACCTGCCTTCCTCACCCAACCTCAGCCTGGCCAGTGAGGATGAAGAGGAGTATGAGAGTGGATATGCTTTTCTCCCAGACCTTCTCATCTTTCAAATGATCATCATCTGCCTTATGGGTGTGCATAGTTTGAAAAGAGCAGGTAACTCTCCCTGTGCCTCTCTTTTCTCCCAGTCTTACTTCTGGGGGACTCGCTGCCGCCACCCCCTGCCTTTCTATTTTAATGCATACAAGAACTGGGATATAGGCCAGAGTGACGGAGGGTAAGAAGACACAGTGGGGAGCAGAACAGGCAGATCTACTGAAATATGCCACTGAGGGGAGCAGTGGGCAAGATAAGAGAGGTCTGTATTACTATATGGGTCAGCTCCCTGGTCAGGGATCAGATTCATGTTGCAGTGGCACACCAGAGATACCCCTCGTTGCGACCCCTTATTCATAAACTTCCTTTCACAAGTAGCCCCTCACTGCCTGGGTCCCTACTTGGCTGTGAGGCAGTAAGGAGTAGGGATTCCTGCCCTGAGGAGCTCCTTGTGAAAGAACAAAGGCAACGACAGCATACTTCCTTTCCTTCTCTTCCACAAATACACGCCCTTGGTTGATGAGGGGTGGGATACATAGCTGATAATCCAGACAAAACTCAGATTTTGCTGGTAGGGGCAGTTAGGCAGTTCTGGAAACTTTCTAGCAGAGGTGTACATAGAGTAAGGAGTGGCAGGACTGCATGTGTAGGTGCATTGGTCAAAGAAGGTGAGTCAGGATAAGAGGATATGCTCGTATGGGGAAGAATGGGGAGAGCTGACATATTTCCACTAATAGTGCGGAGACCTGAGAAAGCCTTTTTTATGTTAGGAGAAACTTTGAGAGGTAGTTGGATCCTTGCTAAGGTTGTAGACAGTTGGGATAGTGTTGAAATTGATTGTCAGGTTCCTGGATTACTAATGTCAGGCTTCTCTGACTTCAGGCTCCAAGCAGTACAGTGCAGCCATTGCCTTCACCCTGGCCCTCTTCTCCCATCTTGTCAACCATGTCAACATACGGCTGCAGTCTGAGCTAGAAGAGGGTGAGAACCCTGTCCCGGCGTTTCAGAGCGATGGCACAGGTGCAAGACTGGGGGTGGATTGTGATTGTGGAAAGTGGGAAAGTGAGGGGGCGGGGGGAACAGAGGTATGGCAGAGGAGGTGGTGTTGAAGTGTACCACCTTCAGTTCCAGTAGCCCCAATTTTTCCCTAGACCCCTCCTGACCTGTCCTCTTTCCACAGATGAACCAGAGTCCAAGGAACCCTTAGAGAAGGAGGAGCCTGGTCCTGAGCCTCCTCCCACAGTCCCTCAAACAGGTGAGGTCAGAAAGAGCCGGAAGTTCTCCCGCCTCTCTCATCTCCGCCGCCGCCGCCACCCACCCAAAGCTGGTGATGACAGTGACCTGAGTGAAGGCTTCGAATCAGACTCGAGCCATGACTCGGCACGGGCCAGCGAGGGCTCGGACAGTGCCTCTGACAAGAGTCTTGAAGGTGGGGGGACGGCCTTTGATGCCGAGACAGACTCGGAAATGAACAGCCAAGAGTCCCGTTCTGACCTAGAAGATATGGAGGATGAAGCGGGGACACGGTCCCCAGCCCTGGAACCCTCTAAGGTCAAGTCAGAGGCTCCTGAGTCCCTCAATGGCCCCGTGGGCCCAAGTGAGGCTAGCCTTGCCAGCAATCTACAAGCCATGTCCACCCAGATGTTTCAAACCAAACGCTGTTTTCGACTGGCCCCAACCTTCAGCAACTTGCTTCTCCAGCCCAGCACTGAGCCACACACCTTGGACGGCCAGAGGCCCTGTGTCAATGGGGATGTGGACAAACCCTCAGAGCCAGGTATCTGGGCCTCTTCCTCATCTGGCCTGGCTCACATCTCCAGGCTGTGGCCACTCACTTGAAGTTGCCACTTTCCTCTGTGTGCAAGCCTCTACCCCATCCACCCTTGCTGCCTTACTTTTCCTCTGCCTTGCAAGCCTGGAGTTTTTCCTGAGACTTTCCTCATTTGCTTAGTGCCAACTGTATCCCATTTTGTGGTCTTACTCTTCACCCCCCCCCACCACCACCACCTTACCCTGTGTGTTTAGGGCTTCCCTCCGTGCAAACAGTAGTGGCTGCAGTTTCTGCTCCTGGTGTTCTTCCAGGTCCTGCCAGGGGTCCCAGAAGCTAGGAAAAAACAGCACCCACTGAAGCAGGTAGATGAGAATGACATTTATTACCTGAGACAGCTCTTTTCAAAGGGAGCTTCCTGGGCCAGCAGCCTTTTTTTTTTTTTTTTTAAGATTTATCTATTTGAGGGCCCTTCCTGGGACACAGTGGATTGGAACGCACCACTGTGAAGCTGGCTGATGCTGCTTCAGTATGAGTTTGATCCCTGGCCCCAGAAGTGATCCATATAGTGTGGCAGACCTCTCCTCTCTCTCCTGCTGCTCCCCGCAGCAGTGTATTTCGTCAATCTGCCTGTTCTGCTCCCGACTGTTTCTGCTGAATCCTCTCACCGCCCTTGTACCTCTGGCTTGTATCCCAGTTCTGTATGCATAAATTAATTATTTATGCATACAGAACTGAGGTACAGGCCAGAGGTGTGGGAGTGGTGAGGGCATTCACCAGAGACAGAGTGGGGAACAGAACAGCAGATGTACTGAAATACACTGCTGAGGGGAGCAGCAGGCTGGTCAAGAGGTCTGCTGAGCCTTGTGGTTCAGCTCCCCAGCAGGGGATCGAACTCGTGCTGCAATGACTGGGTAGCTTCATAGTGCTGTGTTGTAACACCTTGCTCCACCAAAGAGGGCTCCAGTCTACAATTTTTGCACCTACTCTAGTAGGCACTAGGCTGGGCCCCTTGGGTATTGTCATGTTGCACTCAGCAGTCTTCCAATGGAGGAGTTAGCTTAGTCTCAGTGTTTTCCTTTACCTCTCTTCTTCTGTGCTCTTTTGTTCTGGACCATACTTTTCTCCTCTTTCCTTCAGGCTGTCACTAGTTGATTTTTTTTTTTTTAATTTACTTATTTATGCATGCAGAACCAGGATATAGGCCAGAGGTGCGGGGGTGGTGAGAGGATTCACCAGAGACAGAGTGGAGGGCAGGACATGCTGACTGATGAAGTACACTGAAATACAGGGAGCAGCGGGTGGGCCAGGAGAGGTCTGCTGCACCATGTGGTCACCTCCGGTGCGGAGATTGAACTCATGCTGAAGTGGCTTTAGCATCTTAGTGCTGTGCTTTAACCTGCTGTGCCACCAGGGAGGGCCCTGATTCTTTTTTTCTTTTTTAAGATTTATTTATTTATGCACACAAAAACTGGAGTGTAGGCCAGAGATATGGAGGGTAAGAAGATTTGCCAGAGACAGTGGGGACCAGAAGAGTGGATCTATTGAAATACACTGCTGAGGGGAGCAGCAGGCACGACAGGAGAGGGCTGCTGTGCCTTGTGGGTCATCTCTGGCTGGGCATCGAACTCATGCTGCAGTGGCTGGCAGTAGCTTGAGAGTGCTGAGACTAACCCCTGTGCCATCGGGGAACCTCACACTTTAGCTTCTAAGTTACTTGGTCTCGACTTCTCCAAGGCTAGGTTAGATTTCCTTCCTGAGGGCTCTTGTAACCTGTATCACCACATCCTCAACCCTTTAAGTCAAGTTGTTTGTTGATTTATCTGTTTATCCAACTAGACTGTGAGCCTCTGTGGCCAGGACAGCTTGTGTTTTGTGTTCTCAGTCCCTAATGTAGTTCCTGGTATGTGGGTAGAACTTGGGAAATACTGCATAAATGAAAGTGAGGCGGCTGATGCTCAGAGATGGAGTGCCCAGGTGTAACCTGCAGCATTGCAGAGCTAGGAGATGAAGAACTTCTGTTTATTGGGTATCCCTGTTCTCCCTCCCTCATCACTAGCTCCCTTCTGACTTTGTTCATGAACATCAGCTGAGTTGATTTGCTGTGGGTATCCTTACAACTTGAGTGTGCAAGAATCAGATGTTTAAATGACATCAAGGCTCGTGGCTTTAAAGCAACCAGTTAGTGGGATCTGAAAATTCAGGAAGGGGCCTGAAAGTAAATTCCCCACCTTTCATACCTGAATTCCTCATATCATTTTGAGGGGTGTGCCCCCCCCATACAGCTGAACTCTGTTCTGTATACCTACTCATTCCATTTCCTCTCACCCATTCCAGCTTCTGAGGAAGGCTCAGAGTCAGAAGGGAGCGAGTCCAGTGGGCGTTCTTGCCGGAATGAGCGCAGCGTTCAGGAGAAGCTGCAAGTCCTGGTGGCTGAAGGTCTGCTTCCCGCAGTGAAGGTTTTCCTAGACTGGCTGCGGACCAACCCTGATCTCATCATCGTGTGTGCGCAGGTAGGCCGCTGTGCGCTTTCAGGTTTCATGGTGCTGGAGGAGGGTTAGCCAGTTGGGGCCTCCTTGGTGACACAGGGGTTAGAGTCTGTGCTATCAAGCTGTCACCAGCCACTGTACCACTAGTTCGATCCCTGGACAGGAGCTGGCCCACTTGGCCCAGCAGACCTCTCCCTTCTCGCCTGCTGCTTAGCAGCCATTTCAGTGGGTCTTCTGTTTTCCCCACACTCTGGTGGATCCTCTCACCCTGCACCTCTGACCTATACCCCAGATCTTATATGCATCCATAAATAAATCTTTTTTAAAAAATAAGAGCAGTTATAGTCATTATCCTTCTGTTGAGCCCTTATACTTTTTATAGCAGTGTGACCTTTGCCCTCAAGGAGCCTGTGGCCTGGGATATAATTTTTGTGGACTGAGAAAGTGAAAGAGCTGCTTATTATTCTGTTGTGTAGACCCAATGAGGCATAAAACCTGCCATTATGAGTAATGTTGATGGAACTATTTTACCGGGGTTAAACTCAATAAGTAAATATGAGAGTCCTCAGAGGGGAGAAAGCACTGAGTAGTGACAGAGAGATGGGACCTAGGAAACTAGACAGGGTTTGTGATATTCTAAGAGGGGAACAGCTGAAGGAGTGCCCTGCATGGAGTTCGAAGGGTCAGACTGGCTGCCTGGCGGCTGGCCAGGGCAGTGGCAGCCTCTTGGGTTCTGAGTCTCAACTTGGCACCTCTAGTTTTAAGGCTTTTATTAGTGTTACTTTGTTCCAGCCACACCTGCCCTGCTGTGGAAGACCCTTTTCTTTATGCCTCCTTCCCTAGACTCCCTAGATAAGAGTGCTTGGACCTGGGCCAGGCACACTCTGGTGTTAGCTGTGCTATGTCTGGTGACAGGTGAGATAGAGGTGGGCACAGGGAGGGCTGAAAGGAAAGGCCCATGCTGGCCAAGGAGAAGGCTCTGCCAGTGCGCCAGCTTTTCCTACTACCAAGATCCAAAAAAAATCTTTCCTGTACTGTCGTACCCTCAGGGTAATGAAGCTGGTGGTCAGATTCCTCACCTCCATGGGCCTTCTTCATTCCTTATGAGACCAACTCTCTGTTTTTCAAATTCTCTCCAAGCTCCTGGGCCTTTTTTGTTCTTTTCTCCAGCAGATCCTTTAAGACTGTAATCACAGTCTCCCCTTCACCCCATGCTTTTCTTGCTTGTAGCCTTCCCCATCCCCCCCAAAAAAACTAACCAAAGGCCTCTTTCTCTCCCCCAGAGCTCTCAAAGTCTATGGAACCGCCTGTCTGTGTTGCTGAATCTTTTGCCAGCAGCTGGTGAACTCCAAGAGTCTGGTGAGTCTCTGGCACTCTCTTCCTGTCTACTCTCCATCATTGGCCCACTGAGCCCATCCCCCCTTCCTGGTAACCTGGCCCTTGGGTAAGGAGGTTAATGGGATTCTGTGCCCAGTCTCCTCATTGTGGTCTTAGTTTCTCCACTTTCCCATACCAACACTGCCCCACTGTGGACAGGTGGCCGGTGTGCCAGGGTGTGCGCTCCCTACAGGAAGCACAGGGTGGGTACAAGCGGGAATAAAGAAGCCTGAAAACCAGGCCCAGTTTCTGGTATCACACTGACAGCCTGGTCATTAAAAACTGATTTTGGCCTCCAGAGCTCATCAGTCTGGCTTATTACTCGTCTACCTTCAAGCTGGAAAACACCCTTTACCTCCAGGTCCCACCAAAGGCTCTTCACTCCCTTTACACCTCCCTCTGGAGCCCTCTTGTCATGTGTGTCTGGGTGTAGGCCCCTGTTTCCAGGGAGCCTCCCACGCCAGCTGCCCCTTCTCCTCACTTGCTGTGCCCTCTGACCCTCAGCATGTCTCTCCTGGGCTCTGCTGAACTGGCCCGCACATCTGTTTTTCCTTCTTTCACTTTCTGTCTTGTCTTATTGACCTGGGAACCCTAAGGACGGCATCACTGATGGAGAGCATCACTGCTCTCACACATAGATGTTCTTGTGTGTCCTTTTTCTTTCCAGGGCTGGCCCTGTGTCCCGAGGTCCAGGATCTTCTGGAAGGTTGTGAACTGCCTGACCTGCCCTCTGGTTTGCTGCTCCCAGAGGACATGGCACTTCGTAACCTGCCGCCCCTCCGGGCTGCCCACAGGCGCCTTAACTTTGATACAGATCGGCCCCTGCTCAGCGCCTTAGAGGAGGTGAGGCTGCCCTTTCTCAGGCCATGAGCTCCGTGACAGTCAGACACACGGTCCAGGGCTGCAGCTTAGGAGTCTGTGCTCAGTGAGCATTTGTGCTAGTACCTTCTTTGGGTAACAGGCATTCATAGGTCTGTTGTTGTAGAGCAAGCCTCCTCCCCTTCACATTTTGTGCTGGACAGCACCAGTGAATTAATAGGGATCTGAAATCTTCATGGGTCTGTTTTTCTACTCTGGGCACAGCCTCTGAGCTGAATGTCAGACAATGAGAAAGTTAGAGATGGACAAGCATGTGCTGCCCACTCTAGTCCAGAGACTTGCATTCTTGAATCTGTGTCATCTTGTGGGCCATCTGGGAGCAGCAGCGGGCATCCAAGGGTCCCAGTCCCCTCCCCAAGTACATGCCTTGGTTTCTCCTCCATCCACAGTCGCTTGACTTTAGTCTTTTTTATTTGAGGGCTCTGGATAAGAAAGTTGGGAGGTGCTGATCTAGTTCCAGTTTTAATCAGTTCCTCATTATACCAGCCCAGGAGAGAACTGTGGCTTTAGCACCCACGTCTCCTTCTTTCAGCATGGGCCTGTTATTTCTTCTCCGCCCTGATTCTCTAATCCTCCTAGGAGTTCCCTGCCCAACTTGCTCACTCTTTCTGGCAGCTAGAGACTCTGAGCCCTGGCGCTCCTTGTCTCCATCCTGCACCCGTCTCTTAGCAGCCCTTGGGGTGGCTGGTATAGAAGGGAGGGGGCCAGGATGGGCAAAGAGGCTCAAGGGCTCCGCTCAGCTGGTGTCTGGTGTCTCCTAACAGTCGGTCGTACGCATCTGCTGCATTCGCAGCTTTGGCCACTTCGTTGCCCGCCTGCAAGGCAGCATCCTGCAGTTCAACCCTGAAGTCGGCATCTTCGTCAGCATTGCTCAGTCTGAGCAGGAGAGCCTGCTGCAGCAGGCCCAGGCTCAGTTCCGCATGGTGAGTCAGGCTTGGCCCTCGCTGTCTGCCCTGTTCTCATCACACTCCCTGAGGTTTACAAACCTTTTGTGTTAAGGCTTTCCTTGCTGCTCCAAAGGGGAAAACACTGGGGGGTTACAAAAATAATCACGGGGAAGTTACACAGTTTCCAAAAATGTTGAGAGTTTCTGCAGGCATTTCCTCTAGCCTGAAGCGCCCAGGACTCCTGGGGCTGGTGCCTGGAAGCCCCTTTCATGTGGTATGAACATCGCATGCCAGCCTGGACACAGGCTGTCTGTGCTTCCTGCTTTGCTTGGGTCACAGTCCTGCCCCGCGGGCTTGTCCCCTCAGAGCAGCAGTATGGTCATGTTGCCATCAGCTGTCTTTTATCAAGTGCTTTCTATCAAAAGCTTGATTTACATATGACATCTCATATAACCCTTTGTATTGGCCCTATGAGGAGGTGTGTGTGTCCTCATTTCATAGACAAGGCAGCACAGAGTGACAGAAGACACAGGGAACCAGGGCTGTGGGGCCAGACAGATCAGGATCTTGGCTTTTTTCTTTAAAATTTAATTATTTATGCATCCAAGAACTGCACCCGAGGTGTGGGGGCTGAGAGGATTCACCAGAGACAGGGTGGGGAGCAGAACAAGCCGATCGACAGAAGTACACTGCTGAGAGGAGCAGTAAGCGAGACAGGAGAGGTCTGCCTCACCCTGTGGGTCAGCTCCCTGGCCAGGGACCAAACTTAGGCTGCAGTGGTTAGGGATAGCTTGATAGTGCTGTGTCTTTAACCCTTGTGCCACCAGCAAGGCCCCAGGCTCTTGTTTAAGGTGCTGTGGAGATTGAGCATCTCTGTAGGGGTGGGGGTTAGAGTGACCACCAGGATTGCTGCTTCTACTTTCTGGGGCTCCTGCCTAACATAGGGACCCGGGTTTTCTTCAGGGAATATGTAGGCCAGCATGGCTGACCTGCTAGACTGGCGACCCTGGAGTGCAGCTAGCACAGCTCTCCTGACCAGAGCTCCCACCTTCCTGCAGGTGTTGAGTGGCGGGAGGAACGTGTACTAAGCACCCACATCCTTTCTTTGGAACATGGGGCTTCACAATTCCAACTATAGCCTGAAAGTAACATTCTTGTCATTGACTTCTGCAGGGCAAAGAGGGAAAGTTTGTCTTACAGCCTGCTGGCAGGGCCTGTGGGAACATGCCCACTGAGGTGCTGGTCTTCTGCCTCCCCTCTGTCCTACCAGTTTTTCCCTGGGGATACTGTTGGCATTTGGGACAGAATTGTTCTGTTGTGCAGAACCCTGCAGGGGTACTGTGGACATGCATAACTAGGATGATGATGAAAACTGATAGGATTGTGGATTGCAGCAGTCTCATTAAGTTGACAATCCATTCAGGTTTCATAAGTGTGTCCACTGATACCTATTTTCTTGTCCAGGATCCCATACTGTACTGTATTTGGCTTTCACGGCTCCTTAGTCTCCTCCAGTCTATCTTTCCAGTTCCTCATGCTTCTGAACAGTACTGATCATATTGTGGGGTGTTTCTCAGTTTGCTTTTGTCTGTTGTCACCAGATGGTCAGAATGAGATGATACATTCCAGATGAATTTTTTTTTTTAAAGATTTATTTATTTGTACATACAGAACTGGGGTACAGGCCAGAGGCTCAGGGGTGGCGAGATGCTTCACCAGAGACAGAGTGGGGAGCAGAACAGGCAGATCGACGAAGTACACTGCTGAGGGGAGCAGCGGATGGGTCAGGAGAGGTCTGCCACGCCATGTGGTCACCTCCGGGGCAGGCGGGAATCGAACTCATGTGGAAGTGGCTTTAGCTTATCAGTGCTGTGCTTTAACCCGCTGCGCCACCAGGGAGGGCCCAGATGAATATTTTAAAGCACCACTCTGATGCTGTGCTGCTCGTGAAAGAGCCTTCAGTGACTCCCCATATCTCTTCAGGCAAGTTCCCATCGTTAATCATATCTTCTAGATTGTATTGTGGAATTTGGACTTCAGGAGACAACAGAAAACTCTCACAGTCCTCTGAGTCAGGGCTATAGTGGACGTGGTGTGAGTCTTGAAAGACTGCCTTGGCTGCTGGCAGAGTAATGGTTTAGGTTAGAGGCAGAGACCTGGTAGGAGATGGTCGCTCAGACTTAACAGCTGTGTGGTCGAAGTGGAGGGAGGAGGAGGGATTGACAGGAGTGAAAATCTAACTTAAGGAAAAGTCAGGTTCAGCCTTCTGACTGGGGCAGACATTTTTTTCACCAAGTTGGAGGTCCCAGGGGAAGAGAAACAGGTGGGCTGTCAGACGGACATTGGCGATGTGGATCTGGAACGCAGGTGGTCAGATCTTGACTAAAGCTGTAGAAGCGGGAGAAATTGGCAAGTAAATAGTGACAGAGGATGGAGGGGCTCTTGGATGGGTCTCCCCTTGAGGATAGGCTGGAAAGAGCAAGGAGGCACTGCCCGGTGCTCCTGCGTGGTGATCTGCTCCCTCCCTCTCCTGGGCTGCCTGGGGTGCTGCAGCAGAAGCTGGCAGTAGAAGTTACTCACACTGCACCCTAGGAACATTTTTTTTCTTGTGCCTCACACCCCTTCATTTAGCAGGAATGATAGGAGGGGACTTCGTGTGAGGTTGTTCCTATTTCAAACCCCGGATTCCTCTTGGCTCTCTGGTGGCTGGAGAAAGGAATATAGCTCCAACTCCTCTGCCCAAGCTTAGCACTTGACTTTTTTTCCCTCCTAGGCCCAGGAAGAAGCTCGGCGGAATAGGCTAATGAGAGACATGGCCCAGCTACGGCTTCAGGTAGGAAATGAGGGCCTGTACTTCTGCTCTTGCTTGTCCTGCGGGCAGAGCCTCCCTCACCAACCATGGCACGCTGTGGCCTCCTGGAATGCCCTCCTAGTGCTCATTTCTCATCCAGTGCCCCCTTTTCCCTTCACTTCCATCTCTTTTCTCTTTCCTTAACCTTTGTTTTTACTTGTCCTTCGAAGTCATCAGTAGGTGGCCCTCACCCTTATGACAGCAGGAGGAGCCTGTGAGAGCCACCTTGAGTGCCGTTCTGCTCCCCCTTCCCAGGCAGCAGGGACCCACATGGCTCCCCCGCTCTTGCCTTTTCTCACCAGCTCGAGGTCTCCCAGCTGGAGGGGAGCCTGCAGCAGCCCAAAGCCCAGTCAGCAATGTCTCCATACCTCGTCCCCGACACCCAGGCCCTCTGCCTCCACCTCCCTGTCATCCGCCAGCTCGCTACCAGTGGCCGCTTCATCGTCGTCATCCCGAGGACAGGTGAGCATATTGGAGAAGTAGGAGAGACAGACTTATTTAGGGCTCTGTTTTCACACAGTGGTCTTAGTCAAATCCTCCTCCTCTCTGAACCTCAGTTACTTCATCTGTGAAGCAGGCGTAACAGTCTGACTCATGAGACAGTTGAGAGAATCTAAGTGAAAGCACTTGGTAAACTGCCAGGTGCGTGGCTGGCAGAGTATGGTTCTTTCAAAGAACTGACGGAGCCCCTGCCGCAGCATTCTTGTCCGACCTGTGTCTTCCTTGCCCGCCAGTGATTGATGGCCTGGATTTGCTGAAGAAGGAACACCCAGGTGCCCGGGATGGGATCCGATACCTGGAGGCAGAGTTTAAGAAAGGAAACAGGTGAGTACAGGCCTGGCTGAACCTGTGCTGAGCCTGTTCATCTCCCAGATAGCAGTGCTCATGTGTCCCTCTGGGTAAATCATGCAACAGTCCCTGCTCTATTTGCTCACTACCTGGGGAGGGAGACTAAAGACATTAGAAATCAGGATCCTCAGTGCTAAAATGGGGTGATCATAGGAGCCCATGGGGGAGCACTGACCTGCTGTCCATGTGCCTCGGGGCAGACAGAGATTGGGATCACCAAAGCCAGGGGAGCAGACCCACCAGCTCCAGTCTGGGCTGGATGGCAGGAGTTTCTACTGCATTAAACTTAGGCCTGCCAGTCCAGTTACCAGGATGGTTTACCAGGGCAGAGCTGCCTGAGCCTCTCCATTGAAGCCATCCAGGGACAAGTAACCTGTAGGTGTTCAGCCCCACCCTTCCTGCTTTTGGGGCCGGAAGAGGACTAGGTAGTGGGTGTGGGGAGAACTGCGAAAGCTCCCCACACCCTCCTAGTTGGCCCACCCCAGGGCAGGCAGGAAGCTACACAAAGCCTACTTGTTTGGACTTTGTCTCCAGAAGTCCTGACTTGAAAAGCATCTGTTGCTTCTCCCCTCCCAGCTCCTCCCCCGGGAGGAACCAAAGAACTGATGTTATCGGGAGGAAAAGTGAGCTGAACTCCCCAGCCAGGAAGCCACTTCAAATGGCTCCAAGTAGATGAGCTGGGAGAAAACCCCCCTCCTCGTCCCATAAAACAACCAAGCCCCTAGTGCCACAAAGGGCCATTTTTTTATAAGGCGCCCTCCCTCTCCTCGGCCAGCTCCACTCTCCCGTCTCCTTTGCAGGTACATTCGCTGCCAGAAAGAGGTGGGAAAGAGCTTTGAGCGCCATAAGCTGAAGAGGCAGGATGCAAATGCCTGGTAAGTTCCAGTTTCACTCTCGTGCCTCACACAGGTCTGCGGGGCTGCTGCACGCATGCTCCTCAGGGACTCGTCACGGTGCAGGACCCGCCGGGCGTCTTGCAGGTTTCACCTTGGAGGAGTCACCCTTGGCTCTGAGGTGCCCGGGCCCGAGCTCCACTAGTGTGCCTTTGCCCGCCCCAGGCCCACATCTGCAGGCCGGCTTTCAGGCCCCAGCCCTGGTGTGGGGTAGTCCCCGTGGTGCCCTCCCACTGCCTGGCTTCCCCTGTGCCCTGCTGATGCTGCTGTGCAGGCTAGACTAATGCTGACTCTTGCCCACTGCCCTCCTCCTCTCCCTTAGGACTCTCTATAAGATTCTGGACAGCTGCAAACAGCTGACTCTGGCCCAGGGGACAGGTGAGGAGGACCCGAGTGGCATGGTGACCATCATCACAGGTCTCCCACTGGACAACCCCAGCGCACTGTCAGGCCCTATGCAGGTGGGTTGGGGGTGAGGAGGGGGCCAGGTGGAGTGGGGAAAGGTATGGGACTAGATTCCCTCCTCGGCCTGTCAGTGTCTTGTCCCGTAGGTTCAGATCCTCTCGCAATCTCTCCCCGCTTTCCACAGGCAGCCTTGCAAGCCGCTGCACATGCCAGTGTGGACATCAAGAATGTTCTGGACTTCTACAAGCAGTGGAAGGAGATTGGTTGAGACTGACCCCTAGGCCCTGCAGTGGGGCTGACTCCAGATCTCTCCTGCCCTCCCTGGCAGCCAGGACCACCACCTGTAGTCACCCCACCACATGCAGACTCACGCACGCACACAGGAAGGAAGCCCAGCTGTGCACAGGCTGCAGGGAGGGCCCAGGAGCCGACTGGGAGGGCGGGGTCCCCCTGTTGCCAAGATGTCGTGAGGAAAGTGAGGGAGGTGCTTGGAGCAGGAGAGCCTGAGGGCCCCTAGCCAGCCTTCCGGCCTCGGCTCCCCTGCTGTCCCCAGGGGCAGGTGGTAGGCATGGTCGTCTGTGTTTCACTGGAATGGTTCCTGCACGGCTGAGGGGAAGCGGCAGCAGAAGGGCCCTTCCTCACCTAGGGTGCAGGGCAGTTGGGGCCAAGAGTTTGGAGCCTACGAGCCCTGGGGGGAGCGTCAGGTAATGCCAGGTGTCTAGGTGGTTCTCTGCCAGACCCTTCCCCTCCAGGACCACACATCCTCTTCTCATCTCCCTTTTTGGAGGTTGGGCAGCTTGAGAGTCCTGGGGGCTCAGAGAAGAGGGGCCGAGAGTGGCCTGGGGCTGCCTGCGTGATAGCAGGGCCCGGGCTTGCACTCCTTCCTGCTGCTGCAGGGGCTGCACGCCCAGTTGCCCCTTCTGCTTTCTGTGCCCCTGTCGGCTTCCAAGGAAGGGAGCAGGCCCCACAATGGCTGCAGGCAGTCTGACCTAATGCCAGTGGGGATTCCTTGCCCACTGGCCCACAATTACTGCGCTTTGTGCTCTTGCTGCTATGCGGGGAAAGAGGGATGCCAGTAAGTGGGAAGGGAGGCTGCCACCCCCTTCCTCTCTAGGGAGGCACCTGCAGATGGGTGGTGGCAGAAGGGTGAGGCCCCTTGAAGCTGCCCAGACAGGGGCCCTCTGTCCTGATGAATTCGTCCACTTTTGCCCTCCCCAGGACTGAAGGCCTGGCAGGGTTGAGCATGGGGCTAGCTTTGGGAGTGCCAAGGTGAATTGTGGGAGCAGAGATCATGAATAGCTCAGGGCACTGAATGGAGCAGCAAGAGCAGGGCTGCCTGTGGGAGGCTTTGGCCAGGAGTCTTGGCCCCTCCCATCAGTGTGGAAGTAGAGCTCAGGTTGGGGGTCTCTGCTGTCCCCCACCCCAGAGCTGGCCTAGCTTCCCCAGCTGTTTTCAGAGGAGAGCAGGCTCCCTGCTTCTTTCCTCTAAGATGGCAAGTCTGGGACAGGCTGGGGGGAGTGGGTCATGACCCCCCACTCCTAGTCCCTGGCAGAGATTTAATAAAGATACTCCCCCCCCCCAAAAAAAAAAGCCCATCTCTGTCTCCTGGTGCTTTTTTTGTGCAGTTTTACTGGGGTATTGGCTGAATGGGTATATTGGATAAGTTTCTCAGAAGTGGACTCATGAAAGCAAGATGCTGCAGAGAGAGCTGTGTGATGGACACTTTCTCTCCCTGTGTGCTGCGGGACCTTCAGACGGGTGAACAGTGGAGCCACCTGTGAAGGCAGCACTGCCTGGGGCGTTGCTTTCTCCATTTGGGTCCTCTGAGTTGGAGAGGTCCTCAAGGGGGACAGGGTGGGCCTTGAAGCCACCATAAATTCCTGTCCCTCCACAAAGACTGGTCCCATCAGTGTCCAGGGAGTAAACATGCCCAGCAAATCCCTGTGCTTGAATCAAAGACACCCAAGTGCCGTTTACCAAAGGCATCTGTTCTGGACTCTGCCCAGCACCAGGCGCTTAGAGGCAGCAGGGTGAGAGGCGGCTTCTGAAATCCAGTCTGTCAGGATTTGGACTTCTCTGCCCAGCCCAAGGCAAAACTGTCTCCGGAGAACCTGGCTATTCTGCGGTTGGCTCTGAAACACCCTGGCGGCATCCTGGCTTGGCCTTCCTGTTCTGGCCAGTCTGGTCTCGGGTTGGGTCAGGCTGGAGGGGCTGGCTGTGTGCAGGAGGCCGAGTGAGCTGCCTGCTAATGGGCTGGGCCACCCTGTGCTGCTCCCTGGAGGCTGGACAAGGCTGGGATTGTTCCTGGCTCCCCTTTGTCTCCCACTCCCCGCCCAGGCCTGGCCAGCCTGCCGCCACTCTCTTCTCCCGGCCATCCGCCTGGCTGGCAGGACCCTGGGACTCCGCCTGCCTGTGGAGCCCCAGGCCTGCTGACCCTCCAACTGGAGCACCTGTCAAGCTCTGGGTAAGGAAGCCCACCTGGGTCCTTCACCTAATCTGGTGAATTCAAAGTGCCCGCTGCAGTCCCAGCAGCAACCCCCTCCCCTTCCATGGCTACTGTACACCCTTCCAGAGACCTGAACCTCACTGTTAAGGGGAAGTTCTCTGTTGAGGGTGTGGAGCCCCAGCACCTTTCTCCCACCTCCCACTTATCCCCTAGTAACTGGGTAGTGCTCAGGTCAGACCACCCATCCGCTTCTGGGGAGGGTTGGGTGGGGGCAGGGAAGGAAGCCTCACCTGTCTTAAAAGCTCAGCCTGGTATAGGGGTGGGGCCAGATCTGCCCTGTTCGCAGCAGGGTGTCAGCATCCAGCAAAGACCCTCAAACCTGAATGAGAGCCAAGGGGAACCAGCAGCCTGCTGAGGAGGAGAGTATGTGCGACACAGATGGGCGAGGCTTTGGGCACGAAGAGGGGTGGGCCAAGGCCGTAGAATTGCTGGAAAGTTTTGGCCTGGGAAGGTGGGGGGAGTGTCCTATTCCTGGGATGGTTCCACCCCCAGCAGGCCCAGCCCCTCCACTTGTGCCAAGGAATGTGCCTGGGAGAGGCTGCTGGGGACCGGCAGGCCAGCAGAGCCAAGGCCACCGGAGTCAGCGCACAGGTCTGGGGCTGAGGGGCGCAGGGCTCAGGAGGGACAGGGATCCAGATGCCCCCAAGGCATGTGTACAGTCACCAGAGAGAGCCTGTTCCTTGGTGGCCACGGGGCTCCGGGAACTCTCCTGAGGCAGAAATTCGGGTTTGGGGCCTGGGTTATTGAGGCAGCCTCTAAATTGGGGGGCCCTCCACTCCCCACAGGGCTGAGGCAGACCAGTCCTGGGTGAGAAGAGGCCTGCAGATGGGCAGATACCTGATTCCCCACCTTCCACTTTGTCTCCAGGTCTACGTAGAGCTGCCGGGTCATCATGCTCAGTCTCAAGCTGCCCCAACTCCTTCGAGTCCACCAGGTCCCCCGGGTGAGGGCTCTACCCCGCCACCCGCCCACAAACGCTGGCTGTCCACCCAACCAGCAGGGCGGAGGCTCCTCTTAGCAGCTGGGGAGTTGCGTGAAAGCTAAGCTCTCCCCACTCCAGTGAGACTCCCTCTGACCGTGCAAGGAGCAGCTTGTGACCTGCTCCTGGAACTCTGAATGCCCCTCCATGCAGTGTACCCTGTGTGCCCCTTAGATCTTAGAACCTGTAGTAAGAGGGGGTTCAGATGGCATTTGGCCTGCTTTGGGGGCCACTGTGAGCTCCAGCATCTTCAACCCTGCTCTGAGGTCGCACATGGAAGGGCAGGGCACAGTGACCCCGCTCCTCTCTCATGCCACTACCCCAGGTATTCTGGGAAGACTGTATCATGTCTGGCTACCGCCGCCCTACCAGCTCCGCCCTGGACTGTATCCTCAGCTCCTTCCAGATGACCAACGAGACGGTCAACATCTGGACTCACTTCCTGCCCACCTGGTGAGGGAGGCCAGGGCTGTGAGCTCAACGGGGGGTCCGGGCGGCCGGCAGGCTGCAGCGGGGAGTGGGGAGGCTCCGCAGGGCCTGAGCACATGCCCGCCGCAGGTACTTCCTGTGGCGCCTCCTGGCGCTCGCGGGGGGCCCAGGCTTTCCGGGGGAGCCCTACCACTGGCCGCTGCTCATCTTCTTGCTGCCAGCCTGCCTCTACCCCTTCGCGTCGTGCTGTGCGCACACCTTCAGCTCCATGTCGCCCCGCGCACGTCACATCTGCTACTTCCTGGACTACGGTGCGCTCAGCCTCTACAGCCTGGGTGAGCCGCGGCTGGCCAGGGCCAGGATGGGGGCGGTCCGCCTTGGGCGGGGGCCGGGTGTGGCCAGAGGGGCTCCCTCCGCAGCCCACCCTTCCGGTCTCAGCTCCGCCCCTCAACTTTCCCCACAGGATGCGCCTTTCCCTATGCCGCCTACTCCATGCCGGCCTCCTGGCTGCACAGTCGTCTGCACCAGCTCTTTGTGCCCACAGCTGCGCTCAATTCCTTCCTGTGCACCAGCCTCTCCTGCTACTCCCGGTGGGTTCTTGGCCAGTGATGGAGGGACAAGACAGGACACCCTGGGGCGGCAGAGAGACCGGGGGTGCCGCGTCAGCACCTTTACTCCAACACTTTAGTGACAAAGGGACCATTTTTTGAGATTCAGTGTTCATCACATACCCGAGCTACCTCCTTTATGCGCACAGCCACCTAGGAGGCAGGTGTCTTACCCCATTTTACAGAAGTGGACATTTACAGACGGCTTTCTCTTAGCCACTCAGCCACACTGACATTTCATCTTGCCCTGAGGTCCCCTGCCCTCCTCTGACCCCACCCAGTAGGAACACGGTCACCAGCCTTTCCCTCCCGTCCCAGGTTCCTGGAGCTAGAAAGCCCTGGGCTCAGTAAGTTCCTCCGCACTGCAGCCTTCGCCTATCCCTTCCTGTTTGACAACCTCCCGCTCTTCTATCGGGTAAGGGTACCTGGGGCCTCGCCCAGGGCCTGCTTCCTTATCCTGGCTCTTCAGTGCCCACTTCCAGTCCTGCCCCTGCTACCCACCCCTCCCCTTCCTTGCCAGACCCCAGATACACTGCGTCCTCTCCCTAAGGCCCTCCCCACCAGCCCTGCTTTTCCTTTACCAGCTGGGACTGTGCTGGGACAGGACCCACAACTGTGGGCAGGAGGCACTGAGCACCAGCCATGGCTACCACCTCTTCTGTGCGCTGCTCACTGGCTTTCTCTTTGCATCCCATCTGCCCGAGCGACTGGCACCGGGACGCTTTGACTACATTGGTGAGAGGATGCCTGGCCCCGCCCGGCCAGGCCAGGCAGGGGCAAGGGGAGGAGCTTCCCGCAGGGAGCGGTGCCCTGGTGACAGGGGTCTGAGTCAGAGGCTCCTCGAGGTCTGGGTCCACCACCCAGCCCCACCCCCAGACTCGCTGGCAAAGGTAGTGAGTGGCGTGTCTGTGTTAGTCCATGTGGTCCCCTGTGGGTCAGGTTTCCTTTTCCCAATTTTGGGGGGAGCAAGCCCAGAGGAGGGAGTCATTCGCAGTGGGTCACAGGGAGAGTTGAGGCAGCTGTGATCTGACTGGCCCACCCTCCCCACAGGCCACAGCCACCAGCTGTTCCACATCTGTGCAGTGTTGGGCACCCACTTTCAGCTGGAGGCAGTGCTGGTGGACATGGGCTCTCGCCGAGCCTGGCTGGCCACACAGGAACCTGCCCTGGGCTTGGCGGGCACAGTGGCCACACTGGGCTCGGCGGTGGCCGGGAACCTGCTCATCATTACTGCCTTCACAGCCTTCCTACTTTGGGCCCCCAGGACCTGCTCCCTGCTGCAGGGGGACCTACTAGAGGGGGGCACAAAGGCTAAGCAACAGTGAGGCCTCATCTCAGAGGCTGCCCTGGACAGAAGCAGAGGCCAGGCCCTGGTGCTGGAGAGGAGTCCGACCGGGCTGGGAGCTGGGAGCGTAGGGGCTTACCTGAGCCTGAACCAGAGTCGCTGGGAGAGGGCACAGGAGAGGAGGGGAGCAGGGGTGGGGGGCAGGGGGCACAGCAGGGGAGCAGGAAGTTCCTTGAGTCTCGGGATGGGATGGGGGTGGGAAGTGCCGAGGGCCTGAGAGGAGGTGCAAGTGTCCAGGCTGGAGCTGCCCGTCAGAACCTAGGACAGGGACCTATGGAGCACTCACTGGGCCCTGCTTCTGGTGCTCCTGCTCAGAGAAACCTTAGCCCGGGGAAGAACTAACATGACTAACCTAGCTGGCCCTGAATGCTGTTAGCCAGGCCCACTGTTGCCCCCAACCCCAAACCAGGCAGTGCCCTCGCCGGCACCCCCTGCCCTCAGAGCCGTCTGTCCTGGTGGCAGCCATGCCCTCGAGGGCTGCTGGCTACAGGGAGAACCTGAGTCAGGCTGTGGGAAGTCACCTTTAATGCTTTCCGGAATGAGGTGCAAATAAATAAATCTGCATTAGTCTTTGGGAAGAGCTTTCTGGGACTGAAAAAGATTAAAAGCCCCTTTCGACCCCACCTTCCCAACACCTCGCTCCCACACCGTGTGGATGGAGAAAGAATCACAGCCCACAAGTCCTCTTCTGGAGTTTATTCTGGAGCAGCTGGGGCGATGGGGACCCCAGGGAGGGGAGGGAGGGGAGGGTGCAGGAAGGGAAAGCGGCCAGGTCCTGCGCAGCACCGGCGGGCGCTGAGGGGCCTGCAGGCTCTAGGCCGCGCCGTAGAAGCGCCGATAGGCCTCCTGGAAGCCGATGTGGTCCGCCAGCTCATCACAGTCAGGGTTGAGCTCACACACCTCCCTCATGGGCTCCAGGGGATCTGGGTAGGGGGCTGGGGCGCTGAGCCCAGCACAGTGGCATCAGCCGCCACACAAACACCCGCTTCTCCTCCCCCCACACCCGGGACCCCAGAGCTGCCCCAGCAGGTTGGGGCGGGCGGGCTCTGACCAAGCGCATCCTCTCACCCCAGCCCCTGGTCCACGTTGCGCCTGAGTCTCTTCACCACCTCGTTGCCCTCCTGCTTGGACACGAAGGCTGTGGGGTAGAGGGGCAGGAGGCCCTCAGTTTGGGGGGGCAGGGCAGAGGGCAGGCCAGCCTTCCTGAGAGCTGACCAGAGGGGGAGGGGGAGCCAGAAGAGAGGGGCTGGGGATGTGGGCACAGCCCACAGACTGCCTCATACCTGTGCCTCTGCCTGACTTGGCACTGCTGGGCTTTGCATCTGCAGAGAAGAGGAGCCCGATCACCCCTGCCCAGCCCGAGAGCCCTGCTCCTCCCTGCCTCTCTGGAGGCTTGTTCTGCCCTCCCCTCCTCCACAAGGACTGGCCGGGCCGGGGGGAAATGGATTAAGCCTGCAGGACAGTGGTCACCAGACAGGCAGAGGGACGGGGACAGAAGCCCCTCTAGCAGGAGCCTGGGTAGAGCGGGGCACTCACCTGCCGGGCCGGCGAGGCAGAGGGCGGCCAGGGCCAGCAGAGCTAGGGCTGTCATGGGCCTCATGGTGTCTGCCAGTGGCTGCTGGGCTGCTGCTCAGGACCCCGCTGATGGCCTTTCCAGCCGCCAGCACGGTTTATACTCTCGCAACTGCGCCCGAGGAGGGAGGGGCGTCTGACCATGGGAGGGTCATGGGGGAATCTGCCAGGGCTATTTGGGGGTCATCCGCTCTAGCTCTGTAAGCCAAACCCCAAAGGATGTTGTGGTTGGAGCTGTGGCCGCCTGGGCAGTCCCTGGGAATGAGGGAGGAGGGTGGGCTGCAGTCAGACTGCCCATCCCTGAGATCCTCCTCGTTCTCCCTGAGACAGCCCAGCTTCAGTTTGAGACAGGCCAACCAGACAGGTCAGGGCACAGAGGATGGGGCCCTGAGGGCTAACAGATTCGAACAGAGCTGAGTCCCATTCTCATGTGGGCTGTGATTTCTGCTCTCCCAGTGGGCAGGAGCCAAACCCCGGTGGGTCCCAGCCAGACAGGGCAGGCCTGGTGTGGTGCTACCCAATGGCTCAGGCCTTGGAGGCAGGATAGAACAGGTTGGATTGGGCCGGGGCAGCACAAAGACAAAAGCCCAAGAGTGGTCAGGCTGGGTGTGAGCCTGCCTTTCGCACTGAGCAGGTCAGGGGCATGCCCCTTCCTGTGGCCCTCACAGGGCGATGGCATGTACCTCAGAGCTCCTTCCCACATGAGTCTCCTGCCCTCGCAGCCTCCCTAGTGCCAACAACTTGGCAACTTGTCCTCCAAGGGGCAGGACACCCGGCCTGAACCCTGTCCCCACAGAGAGCCACTATGCCTCACTCTCACCCTGATGCCCTGAATTGCCCCCGGCAGACCCGACACGCCACTCCTGTTTGTGTGAGCCCTCCCAATTCAGACCACCCTTTTACCCTCTGGTAATGAGGAAATACCTGTCCTGACTTTGGCTGACCCCCCATGCCTTGCTGGCCCTGTCTGGGAAGTGAGGCGCAGCTGTGAGGCCCGCCTGCTGCGAGGGGCCCTCTGCGTGTCGCCATGGAGACCGATCAGCAAGCGAGGAGAGAGGAGAGAAGAATGGGCCTGAAGGGACAGTGATCCCCCTGGCCTCCGGGATCCAGGGGTCCTGGTGTCTGTGACAGGGTTCTGGGCCTTCTGCACGTGGTGCCAGACAGCCCCACGATCTGCCCCTCCCGGAGGCTGTGAGAAGGCCGCCACTGAGAGCCGCCAGAGCTGGAGCATGGGAGCAGTCTTGGCCCGGGAGAGGACCAGGCAGAGGAAGCATCCTCACAGATTATAGTGTGGGGAGGAAGTTTATTTACGGATGTGGGGAGAACATGGCCCTTGGGCTGGCCAGCAAGGGGGCAATCATGGAAGCTGAAACCAGATGCCAAGAGCCAGGTCCTGGGGCGGCTCCAAGCCACAGGGCAAGCACATGCTTGAGGGGGCAGGTCACCTAGAGGAGAACAAGCAAGCAAGCGCCCATTCCTGGGAGGGAGTGGTAAGGGTCTTCCCGTAAGAAGAAAACGGGTAGATTCTGAAGGTCATGTCAATATGTGACTCTGAGGGCGCCCCAAAGCCACAGGGGCAGTGGCCTGCTCAGGCCTGGTCCTCCAGCAAGTTCCATCACTGCTTAGGGACGGGCCCAGCTGCAGCTGTTCCCAGAGGCAGCTCATCCCAGCCAGCATGCCGGCCACAGGCCCTTGACCTTAACTGCCCTCTGCTCCTAGGTCTGGCCTCCTCACTCAGGCTCCCGCAGCACGGCCAACAGTTCCTTCTGTTCTCTATGCAGAGCCTGAAATCAGCAGAACAAACACTGTGGTCCGCGAACATTCAAGCCAATCAAGCTGTCCTTGATTCCAAGCCGAGTTTCCCCTGAGGATGAAAGGGAAGGGGTCTGGAGCAAAAGCCCAGGCCCAGCAGGGCATGCTGGGAAGTCCCCCCCTGCTAAGCAGGAGTGATGGCAGTTTGGGTGCAGTGACCCTTCTAGGCTGAGCCTCCCCAGAGCAGAGCCCATCCTCAATTAGGGTCCCCCAGCTCCCCATGACCTACCCCTTCCCCATCTCAGGCCCCAATTTTCTTCAATTAAGCCTCTTTCCGCTGGGCTATCAATATTGAACTGTGATGAGAAAAGCTCTCTGCAGCTCCCCTACTGGAGTCTCATAACACAACCCGCAGACCCACTTCCAGCAGCAGCTGGGCCCCAGCTGTGGGGCGAGGTGTGGCTGTAGGAGCAGGGAGCTCTGGGCCCTTGACAGCAGATGACTTATTCAGAGCTGGTCTGGGGACGGTTACTGGACCAACAGAGAAGCCCTGTCTTGCTGGGGAGGGGTGATGGCCTGAAGGGGGTGGCATGGTGATGCAGAGCGGCACTTTGCTTGAGGGGTCAGCAGGGTGGACTTGAGCACCAAGACACAACAACTCTGCTGTGGAACCAGCCCCTCAAGACAGCACCGGGCCCTCCCGATCTGCAGCCACTGCAGCACAGGGAGCTGACCACATGGCGCAGCGGACCTCTCCTGGCTTGCCTGCTGCTCCCCTCAGCAGGGTATTTCATTACATCCACCTGTTCTACTCCCCATTCTGTCTCTGGTGAATCCTCTCACCACCACCACCCCCTCCCTGCCCCGGGCACCTCTGGCCTGTACCTCAGTTCTAGTGTGCATAAATAAATAAATCTTAAAAAAAAAAAAAAAAGCGCCAGGTTGAGGACTGTAAGGACCACGGTGTTTGTAGCTCAGCTCCCTGCTGCCGGGAGATGGCGGGGTGGGGAGCAGGCTCTGCCCTCCTCCCACACAGGATGGGCCTTGGTGAGCCAGGCGGCTGAGCTGACTGGTCTTGGGAAGAGAAGCCCAGCGCCCCGTCAGAACTGGGGCCCTCGGGCACAGGAGGGTCTGCCCCAAGAAGAGAGCTATCAGCTGTCGCTAAGCAGATAATGTGCCGGTCTCCAGACAGGTGGAAGAAGCCACGGTGTGCCACTGTCAAGCCCTCCTGGAAAGCCCCTTTGGAGCACATTTTGAGCCATAAGAAAGTATCTCATCTCTGCAGCCACACCTGCCACCTCGTCACCTGCCCGCTGACCCTCTGCCCCTTGGTTCCAAGAGACACCCAGGCCACTTTCAGAAATTAAATTCACCCTCCAAGGCCAGGCCGCGCAGAGGACGCAGTCTAGCAGTCCCTGGGGTGTGACACTGCAGAGGACGGTCAGCGGTCACACCGGGAGCGGCAGCGCGAGGACACGGGAGCAAGTGGCTGCCCTCCAGGGCCTCCTTTCTCTGCCGACACTCACCTGCCAGGCCTGCTGCTGCGCCCGGCTCTGCAGCTGCAGCTCCTCTAGCTGCTTGCGCCCGGCCACGATGGCATCTGCCAGCTGCCTGTTCTCCGCCTCTTGCTTCTGCACACGGCGCTGCAGGGCGTCCCGCTGCTGCAGGAAGTAGGGCAGCAAGGTGCTGCGCAGGTCCTTCTCTGGGACCCCGCTAGGGCGCCTGGGGCCATGGCAGATAGGACGGGAGGGGAGGACATGTGAGTGACGGCTTCATGTCAAGCCAGTGGGCACACGCCCCCTGGGTCTGAAGCTGGGCTGGCTTCCCAGGCCTCGGGGTGCTCCCGTCTGTCTCCAAGGCCCAGCTGCCTGGCCCCTGCGCTGCATGGGATCACTGACCTGCCCAGGAATCCACCGGCCTTCCCGCAGCCTTTCCCGCCTCAGACCCATTCTCTTCCTGCCCCGCCTCTACCATGCCAGGGCTAGAGGTCACTTTCCAACCCTGCCTGTCCCTGTGACCACCCGCCTTGCTGTGCATCCATGCCACCAGAATGCCAGCTGGAGCGATGAGGGCAGAATGAACCGTCTCAGGCCCAGACCTGGAGACGTGTTGGCTAACGTGGGCTGGTAAGGAAACAGTTGAGGGGAGGTGAGGTTAAGGGTTCCAAAAGCCCAGAGGGGAGAGATGGGTCAGTTCTGATGGGGAGTGGGTAGGTTCTTTTCAAAAAAATGTTTTTTCAGTTATGAAACTTAATCCTCTTGGGGCCTCCCTGTTGGAGTAAGCGGCACTATGTAGCTCTCCGCAGCCACTGCAGCACGAGTTCGATTCCCGCCCAGGGGAGTGGCCCACATGGCACAGCAGACCTCTCCTGACCCCCCGCTGCTCCCCTCAGCAGTGTACTTCATCAGCCTGTTCTGCTCCCCCAGTCTGTCTCTGGTGATTCCTCTCACACTCAATGCACCTCTGGCCTGCACCCCAGTTCTTGTGTGGATAAATAAATCTTTTAAAACAAATATATAGAACTTAACCCTCTTATGCACTAAAAATTGGAAACCACAGAAAAGGTAACTTCTTCCTGGCCTAGGAGCCTGTACTGACTGGGGAGGTCCTGTGGCCTCTACTCTCCACTCCTCGCCCTGGGTCCCCTCTGCCTGGGACACAGCAGACAGCCAAGCCACCCGCTAAAGTGTCATCCCCAGGAGAGGAGGGCTTTTGTGTCTTGCTCACTGCTGAATCTCTGGCATCTAAAATAGTTAATGGGAATATACTGGCTGCTCCCCAGGTATCTGCTGATGGACAAATGAATGAAAACCCAGGCCCCATCTGGCCTAAACAGTACAAGATTCCATCCAGACCCCCCGCCTCCCCCAGGCAGGTGGTCCTGAAATGAGCGCCCCCAGGAAGCTTTCCCTACCCTGCCCCCGCACCCAGGGGGGCCATGTTTCACTGGTTTGGACTACTGTTTGGTGTCTGTCCTGTCCACCTGTGTCTGTCACAGAGCCGCAAAATCAATCTCGTGCACACGGGTCCCTCATAAAGGCTCGTTCGAGATGCTGAAGTGCGGCCTCTTCCCCGTGAGCCCTTCTTACCAGGCTGGCTCCTTTCGATCTTTGCCTTCTTCTACAATTGTATCCAAGGCGTTCAAGACGGCTTCCAGATTCCCCTCCACTTTGATTTCAGAAATTTCCTCCTGAACAGGAGGGAGGAAATAACCAAGGATTCCAAATGAGCCCATGCAGAAAGACGCAAACCGCTAGCAGTGAGATTGGCTAATTTCTCTTCTGTTCTTTTACATGAATATTCCAGCTTTTCTACAGCACGTGAATTTTTCTTAAATGATATAATAGTTTATTTTTTACATCATTTTGTGCCTCAACGTGTGAATTTTATAGCTAAGAAAATCATAACGTGGAACACTTAAAAAGCCTACAGGGCATCTCCCTTCCTGCCCACCACCTCCGAATGCTCCAGCCATTCACTTGCGCACACCCAGGGCATCTTTTGCAGGTGTCACACGCGATTTGATGCTCAGTGGGCCCATTCTGGGGTGTAACAGCATAGAAATTTAACTCAGTAGAGAGGTCCCAGTTCCCCAGTCAGGAATAGGAGCCTCTCAGCTTTCATGCTCCCTATGGTGTATAGTTCCGCTGCATCCCACAAGCTGCCAAGGGCTCCCCCTGCCCTGACTACAGCAGATGTGGAGAGACAGAAGAGACCCGCCCTGTCCTCGGAGCTGCCCAGGGCAGTGGAGCAGACGGCACATAAACCCATAATTACGATGCAGCACAAGGAGTGATGGGGCATTTAAGACGCCCACAGCATGGCAGGGGAGGGGTGAGTGCCCACAGCCTGTTGGGCACGGAGGACAATTCTGGGGGTGAGGCCAAGGAGGGGCCCAGGGCCAGGTCCCTGCCCTCAGGACTGACAATCTGGAGATAGGACCCAATCTAAGGGGCCTGCTGGTTCTTGCCACTCACCCGGATGGATGTCTGCAACTGTGTTATCAGCTTGTTGTAGATCCGCTGTGTCATCTCAGGCTGCAACTGGTAGAAGCGCTTGTAACAGTCAGTGAATCTCTGGTAGCTGGAGAGAGGGAGAGACTCAGAGGTGGGTCGGCTCTTGCCTGGCACTGCTGCCTCTCTCATCACCGGACTCGAAGCCCAGTCTACTTCCTGCCCTGGATAGAGGCAGTGGATGCAGGATGTCTCCCTGCAGCTCCAGCCACCTGGGGTGGCTCAGTCCTCAGTCCCTTCTCAGGAGTACCCCACTGGAGTTCAGGGATTCCCCCCTCAGGATGAGTCATGATTAATTCAACCCCAGTTCTTAAACTTGACAGAGCACCAAGCCACCAGGAGGGCTTGTTACAATTCAGCTGGTTGGACCAGGGTCCCCCGTTTCTAACAAGCTGCTCGGCACACCACACTGAGACCCTCCGGTCACTCAGTCCCTTGGCAGGGCAATGGGACAGAGCGCATGGCCACAGGCGCTGGGGGTGGGTGCAGTGGTGGGGCATCCCTTTCTCTTAAAAATAGCTGCAGAGGGTCCTCCCTGGTGGCACAACAGGTTAAAGCGCAGCACTACAAACTGGCCACAGCCGCTTCTGTGAAAGTTCAATCCCCAACCCAGGAAGTGACCGACATGGCACAGCAGACCTCTCCTGGCCCACCTGCTGCTCCCTCAGCAGTGTACTTCGTCGATCTGCCTGTTCTGCTCCCCACTCTCTCTCTGGTGGATCCTCTCACCGCCCCTGCACCTCTAGCCTGCATCCCAATTCTGTGTGCATAAATAAATCTTTAAAAAAAAAAAAAGAGCGCGAGCGAGCTGCAGAGGAAGGAACTCTTTTTGAGGACGAGACTGTGTCCAGGTGATGCCTCCCAGCAACTAGGACCCTGGTCTGCAGTAGTCTACACCTTGAGGAGGCAGAGCAGAGAGACAAAATGGGGTGTCTGAGGGCACTGCCAGGCTGCCCAAAATACTATTATGGAGCCACCCTGAGCGGGAAGGATGGACACCCATATCCCTTCTTTTTAGGGACCCTAGGGTAAGCCCCCAAATGTAATACTATTATGGAGCCACCTTCCGGTTAGTGAGGTTGTGGATTTCTCTTATGCTTCAAGCCACTTAGAATCGGGTCTATCGTTTCTTGGCTCTTTGACTAAGATCAAGTGCATTATCTGTTCTCATCAGTTTAAAACCAAGTCTGTGGCTGGGGCAGCCCGAGCGCTATCCACGCACCCTCGAGGCTGGAGAAACCTGAGTGCTCACACACGCCCAGCGGCCACTCTTCTTGGACAAGACACTCAAGTAAGTCACACCAACTCTTTTGGCCACTTCCCCTCCCTCCTCTTTTTCTTCCTGCCTGCTCCTCGGGCCCTTCCCCTGCCCAGAGACTTGAGTCATTGTCCTGTGCGAGTGGCTTAGGGATGTCCCCTCCTGGAGCTTCTAGAGCAGCAGCAGCTGGTAGCAGCGGCACCCGTGGAGAGGGCTTTGAAAAGGGTCATGGGCTGAGAGTATCACGGGGCTCATCTTTAGGCTGGAGACAGGGTGTGTGTGTCAGTGAAGGCCTCTCTGGCGAAGGAAGCACCGCTCAAGTGAGCTACAGAGAACACGTCACCAGGGAGCCTTGAACACACGAAATCTCCCACCTACCCCCACTGTGGGGCTGTGTGGGCCGGGCTGGGGGTCCCTGGGCAACGGGAGGCAGGCTGGAGACTCCACAGTACCCACAGCACGGCCTGCAGCCTTGCAAAGGGAATCATGATCAGGCCCCTCTGTTCCCAAGGGTCTGCAGGCCTCCTACCCCCAAACAAAGGGTTTGAGACCCGCAGAGTGGGGGAGGGGTGTACAGGCACCCACTCACAGCAGTTCACGTAGGAACCTGCAAAATGCTCAGGAAATCCAAGAGTAAGTCATCAAGCAGTTGTTATTTTTATTATTAGTTATGAATGTTGTTATTGCATTTGGGGGCTTACCTAGGGTCCCTAAAAAGAAGGGATGTAGGTGCCCATCCTCCCCGCAGCAGGCCCCCAGACATCTGGCTGTCTTGCTGCTGCCCCACAAGCCACGCAGCCTGTGGCTATAGACAGGACATGTGACGCCAGGCCCGGAGAGCCTGGAATTGAAACTGGGTAATTGTGGCTTGAAACGAATTTGGTTTGGACATGGGAGATCCTGTTTCTCCTCCTGGCCAACTCAATAGGCTGAGGGCTGAGCCAGGCTCCCTCCTCATGGAGGCCACTGGCAGCAGAGGGGCAGTGTGGCAAGTTCTGCCTGCGGGAGCTATTCATGAGATTCTTCCTGTGCCCCACTGGCATTTGAGGATTCACTGAAAGTGAAGAACCCCCAAACACACATCGGCATATACACACACAAGACAGGGAGCTCAGGTCCCAAGGAGGTCCCTCAACAGGTCTCCGGGTGCCTAGGACAGGAAGGCAGTCAGAATGGAGGCCAAGTCAGCAAGCATGGAGGCAAGTGCGTCCTGCCCCTGCCTGGGGTGGCTGCCACACAGCACAGGGTGAGGGTGAGGCAGACCACAGATGTGACGCCCCCACACTGGATGCCGCCTCAGGAAGTTTACTTAACATCTGTCAACTCACACAAAGAAAAAGCCTTTTCCTTGTGATGAGAACACTCAGGATCTGCTCTTAACTGTCAGGGCTTAAATAAGGTTAAAAACTACACCTAGAGAGCCCTCCCTGGTGGAGCAGTGGGTTAAATAAAGCACAGCACTAAGAAGCTAAAGCCACTTCAGCCCTGGAGCTGACCCACACGGCGCGACAGACCTCTCCTGGCCCGCCTGCTGCTCCCCTCAGCAGTGTACTTCATCAGCCAGCCTGTTCTGCTCCCCACTCTGTCTCTGCTGAATCCTCTCACTGCCCCTGCACCTCTGGCCTGTACCCCACCTCTGTAAGCATAAATAAATCTTTAAAAAAAAAATAAAAACCACACCTGGATGTGGTATACAATGGAATATTACTCAGCAATCAAAAAGATGAACTCATGCCCTTTGCAGCAACATGGATGGAGCTGGAAGGCATCATGCTTAGTGAAATAAGCCAGAAGGAAAAAGAAAAATACGAGATGGTTTCACTCATAGCAGGAATATAAAGGACCAGGGAAGAAAATAATAATAATAATGAACAACTATATACGAGAGATATTTTATGGGGATGGAGTGGGGAATGGGCTCAAAAATGGGGGGGGGGAGTGCACTGGATTATGGTGATGGCACACGGGTGACTTGGTGATGGGAAGCCCATGGGGATTACAGCTAAAATGGAAAAAACGCACAAAATGATGTAAAAATAAACTATTATTAAAAAAAAAAAAAACTACGCCCCACTCCTGACCCAGCAGGTGGGAATAGGTATGGGAATGGGTAAGGCTGCGTAGGGACAAGGCCAGAACCCACCACCACAGCAGGAAGCCAGCCCAGCCTCAGGAAGGCAGAAGCAGAGGCCAGGGTATGTTTCTGTGTCAAGGGCCAAGATCAGACATCCCAGCAGAGAGCCAGTACAAACTGGTGCCCCAAGTTAGAAAGCCTGCTGCTGCTCTTAGTGGTGTATGATCAACAGCCCACCTTTGGGATTCTCCACTGTCTCTAGTGGATTCTTTCACCCCAGTGCCTCTGGCCTCACCCGGACATTTCTCCCCACACGAGTAACTTCCCATCACACTACACGGCAGTGTCGTCACACGGTGTACCAAGCCCCGGCTTACCTGTCTCCTAACTAGTAGTTTGCGGGTGTTGGCGCCCCTCTTCCAGTCCCCCTCCTATTGCTCCCGCCCTGTGACTCCTTCCCTGAGAACCAATGCAGACTTGGAAATGGCTCGAGTGCCACTGTGGGTTTCCTGCTTCCCCACATGCAGGAACAACGATGGACTCCAGAAGCATTCACAGCCATCGAAACTGCCGAGTTTGTCTTCTCACACAAGCTGCAATACCCTTTGTTGACAGGGCACCGTTGCAATGTCAACAGGTGTCCAGGGCACCCAGAATGGGACATGTTGCAGAACTGTCCCCTCACCACCTCCTCCTCTCTGCCCCAAGTCCTAGGGGGTGGGTGCTAAGAGAATCCCACACGGCCTCTCTGCCAAGTCCCTTTGGCCTTCCAAGAGTACATAGGGCCCCCAGCTATTAAGTGCACTGGAGCTCTGGGACAACTTATCTGTATTTTTCCCTGGATTAAGATCCTACCTCTACCACCAATCAACCAAATGCTTTTTTTTTTTTTTTTAAAGAAACCTCGTGGCCCAAGGGTTAAATCTCAGAACTATGAAGTTGTTGGCAGCCACTGGAGTGTAAGTTCAATCCCTGGCAAGGGAGCTGACCCGTATGGTGCCTGCTGTTCTCCTCAGCAGTGTATTTCAGTAGATTCACCTGTTCTGCTCCCCATTCTAGCCTGTACCGCAGCTCTTATATGCATAAATAAGTAAATCTTTTCAAAAAGATAAATGAAATAAATCTTAAAAAAAATAAAGAACTAGGCCAGAGGTGCAGGGGTGAGGACTCACCAGAGACAGAGTAGGGAACAGAACAGGCAGAGTGACGAAGTACACTGCTGAGGGGAGCAGCGGGCAGGACAGGAGAGGTCTGCCACACCTTGTGGGTCAGCTGCCTGACTGGGGATTGAACTCAGGCCACAGCAGTGATAGTGCTAAGATGTAACAACTAGGCTACCAGGGAGGCCCAACAAACAAGTGATCTTGGCCAACTTCTTTACCTCTGAAAGTCTCAGTCAAATGGGGACAATGCAGTAAATGAAGTGCCTAACTATACTGCACATTATTACGAGGATTTAACAAGGTTACAGCTATAAAGCATGAAGCACTGCGCTGAGCATATCAAAATGCTCCACATCAGCTATAATTACATATTACTATTCTCAGAATAGTCTCACAGCCCATCAGAAGTCAAGAACAGGCCAGTGATTTGGCTCAACAAAGTTGAGAATCTCCCTCCCTGAAGACAGGCACTCAATGAATGCATCTTGGCTGCAACTGAATATGCAGACACCAACCCCCCTGCAGGAAGAAGCAAGTGGCCTCCACTACAGAAAAAGGCCCCCAGGAGGGCTACATCTATCATCAATGAGAGGAACTTTTAGAAACCACATTTGCTGAGTTTCAAACAGACATGATTGTATTAGTTGATTTTAAGCTTTTTTTTTTTTCTCTCCAGAACACTTACCATTGTGATATCTGAGATACTTCACTGTTTTTGAGCTCACTGAAAAAGCACTTCATTTACTGCACTAAAAACGTACTGTAGAGCCCTCCCTGGTGGCGCAGCGGGTTAAAGCACAGCACTGAGAATCTAAAGCCGCTTCCGCATGAGTTCCATTCCCGCCTGCCCCGGAGGCGACCACATGGCGTGGCAGACCTCTCCTGACCCGCTTGCTGCTCCCTTCAGCAGTGTACTTCGTCGATCTGCCTGTTCTGTTCCCCACTCTGTCACTGGTGAAGCCTCTCACCGCCCCTGAGCCTCTGGCCTGTACCCCAGTTCTGTATGCACAAATAAATAAATCTTTAAAAAAAAAAAAAAACATACTGTAAACTGAGTTATCACTTCAGTCTAACTGAAATACACTGCCTTATTTAACTTTAACTTAACTTTATTTATTAACTTACCTTAACTTTATTTAAGTCAAGAATCAAGTTCTGGTGGTCTGTCAGTTCGCAGGTAAACTGCAGGTCACCAAGAGGAGAGGCACAGACAAGCAGCGAGCCCTGCCCGGCACAACCGAACACCAATTTCCGCACAGGCCACCAGAGGGCGCGTGGGGACCGGCACTTCGGTTCCGCTAAGCGGATGGTGGACAGGCAGCTCTGCCTGTGGTGACCAGGCAGGCTTTCTTTTCAAAAAACATTTCCCTTTGCAAAGTTGCAATGGCAGCATCTTCGGCTCGCTTAAATTTGTGCAAGCATCTTCTTTCCTTTTCCAAAAAACCTGTCCTTTTAAAATTAAATTATAACTAACGTTCATTCAGAATTGTTTTTCTGACCTCTTCTTACTTCTCTCAGTCCAATGAACACTTGGCGACCCAAGACTGAGAAGGGTAAATGGGAAAACTAGAAATGTTTCTTGATGAAAATAAGATGTCAGTGACTTTTATTTTTTAGATTGATTTATTTATGCATACAAGAACTGGGGTACAGGACAGGGGTGCAGGGGCGGTGAGTGGATTCACCAGAGACAGACTGGGGCACAGAACAGGCCGACTGACAAAGTACACTGTTGAGAGAGCAGCAGGCAGGTCAGGAGAGGTCTGCTGTGCCATGTGGGTCACCTCCAGGGTGGGGATTGAACTCGTGCTGCAGTGGCTGCCGATAGCTTCACAGTGCTGCGCTTTAACCCACTGTGCCACCAAGGAGGGCCCAACTTATCATTTTTTTAAGAAGTCTTAAAAATTAATCATGTTTTCAAGTTACTAGGTCTCAGGCTAATTTCACCTTTCATTGCTTGGATTCTTTGGAAAATACTCAGAATTTAGGACTGAGAATCTACAACTGTGATACATTTTGGGGGGGAGAGAGGAAGAGAAGAAACTTATTTGAAAACTATTAGTATTAAGGAAAAAATGCTTAGTAGGGTAATTAAATTAATTTATTCATCAGACAAACACTGAGCACTGACCCTATGCCAGCTGAGCTCAGTGGTACAAACCCAAAGATGAGAGCAGATCCCCATCCTCAAAGGGGTACCTTTTTTTTTTTTTATTATACAGATCAATCCCCAGGAGAAAGAGGATGGGCTGGCCAGGAGGGCCTCACAGGAGACTCAGGGAAGACTCCCTGGAGGAAGCACCATGAATGAAAAAAAGTGGGAGGGGCCAGTGGGCAGAAGCCAGAGCAGCTGTGAATAGCTTGTGGTGCAGGCCTGTGTGTGATGATGTGAACCTCCAGAGACTCCCCGACATTGCTCGGCACCAGGCGATGTTCTAAATGCTCTACCTATGGAGACATGTTTCATCTTCACAGTGACTCTGCGAGGCAGCTTCTAGTATCATCATCTCCACTTCTCAGCTGAGAGGCTCAGGTAGAGAGCAGCTTACCTGGGGTCACCAGTTGGGTGATGGTGGGGCTACCCCTGTGGGCCAGGCACTCTGTCCCCCAAGACACCCAGCCCACAGAGGGGTACATCAGCCAGGGCCAGGCACACAGACTCCTGTGTTGGACAGGAGGGGCTACAAATGCAGCTTTAGCAGGAGGGTACGATCGATTAGATTTGCACTTTGGGAAGCTCCTCAGACTTTGTGTGTGTGTGTGGGGGGGGGCGTTGGGAGGAAGCAGAGCAGAGCAGACGGCTGACACAGCGGGGGTGGCAGGAGGAAGGCAGCCTGGAACATGAAGAGAGAATCAGCACCTGGGGCTGAAGTTGCACACCACAGCGTGATGAGTCATCCCCACACTGGAGAAACGAATCACTGCAGCTGCACGCATACCGCATGTTTGGAGGGAAGATGTGTCCGAGGCGCTGTCTGGTCAGCACGGCTTATATATACACTACTCCTTTTCCTGTGAAGAACCATTTCCTATGAACACCAACGATTACTGCCACTAGTTTAAAACTAGTTCATGCATGTTTGCAACTAGCACTCTTCCCAGCCCACTGTTGGACACGGGCATTAGTAATTTACACAAGTCATACTCACCACAGCACATGCAGGCTGGAACACCCAACCCAGGCAGGCAGTGGCCCCTTGTGGCCAAGAACTCAGGCGCTGTCCCTGGCCATCTCCTCCTGCTCCCGCCGTCCCTCTGGACTGACTGAGACCCCATGGGCCTGCGGCCGGCTGCCTATGGCAGACCCCACTTCCTCTGATAAGTGCCAGTGGTCTTCCACCTGGGTCCCTCCAACATCTCTAAGCAGCTGGCTCTCTTGGTGGGTCTGACTCATGACAAAGCACAGAGACGTATGAGCTGCATCTGCTTACGTTAGCTAAAGTGCTGAATGACTGCTTCTCAGAAGCAGGAGGCTGTGAGGCTAGAAAAGAACGCTTTACTTTCAGAGTGAGGCAGGGGTCACATGGCAGGGCCCAGCAGGGCCAGGTTTCTGTCCTGCCACGTGAGGGTGGGGACTGGGGGGGAGCCTGTGCCTGAGCAGATCTGATCAAAGGGACTCACCTGGATGACCAGTGAGGCCTGAGTCTGCATCCACTGGGTCAGACAGCCCAGCAAGGCCAGACATTGTCCAGTCACTCTAGGTGTGTGAGATATTGTGTCCTCCTAGTTAAGCTAATATTTATCAAGAAAATATGCTGATTGTGGGGAAAATGGATCAGACAGCCCAGCAAGGCCAGACATTGTCCAGTCACTCTAGGTGTGTGAGATAGTGTCCTCCTAGTTAAGCTAATATTTATCAAGAAAATATGCTGATTGTGGGGAAAATCAATCTAAAGTCTAAAATATCCCTTTGTGAATAAATCAACATTTACTACTTAGAGACTCAGGTATAAGTACTTGGTCTTTGGGACTGAGGACTTTTAAGACTTGAGGGAAGGTCAAGTATTAGGCTGTTAGAAAAGTCATGTTGTATTTTTTCTGTTTTTCAAGCAAAAATTTGTTTCATGACTTTTCCAACAACCTAGTATTTTAATGTATCCTCAATGTCTGTGTTCATGCTTATTTACTGAGTCCTTTCTATGTGGAATTAATTGTTCCTTCTAAATCAAATGAGGGGACGGGTCGCCCAACAACTAGAAGCAGAAAGAGAAAATAGAAAAAGCGGCAGAAGTAGAAAGAGTGGGTGGCGGCACTCTGCAGAGTCTGCGTGCACAATGCACCTGCACTCACGAGCACCTGCAGCAACAGCCCAGCCTGCCTTGCCTTAGCCGGAGAAAGGGTGAAGATGAGGGGTGAATGGCCTCAGACGCTGTTTTAAGGAGCTGACCTTTGACTCTGGAAGCAACCCTGAGCAAATTAAACATTTTAAGCAGAAGGACATGCTCAAATTTGAGCTACAGACTGCAGGAAGGGCCAGGCTAAGGCAGGAGGGCCACCCTGGAGGTTGGTGCAACGATCCAGTGAGATGGTGACAGGCTGAACGGAAGGAGTTGTTCAGGAAAGGAGGAGGGTGAGGAGAAAGGCTAGATTCCACAGGGCTTGGTGGTTTACTGGAGGTGAGAAGCAAGGAGGGTGAATGAGGACTTCAAAATCTCTGGCCTAGTAAGTGGGTAAATAGTGAAATCCTATTTCCACCACTCTGAACTTGATGGTTCTATGGGACATCAAGTATTGATGTCTAGCAATATAGAGCGGGAGAGGAAGGTCTGAACTCAGGAGATGTGGCTTGGCAATCCTCATTCTTTCCAAAACTCCATACTGGGGTCTGTCGTGTAACAGGCACTGTGATGAACAGCCTGAGTGGCGTACAGAACGAAACTCTGTTCTCAAGGACCGTACATTTTATGAAGGGCGGACCACAAATATGCAGGAAGACAACAAAATTACACACAGAAGCTATACTTCTGTTGCCGGGCAGAATTATACCATGAAGGAAAAAGAGAAGGGGTCATGATAAGGAACAACTGTGGCTTTAGAGAGGGTCAGGGGAAATGGAGGAGAAACATTCCTGGTGAGACAAGTATCAAATGCAAATGCCCAGAGGCAGGAAAACTCCTGACAGTCGAGGAAAGGAAACCAGTATGACAGGGTATAGTTGGAGGCTGGGCAAGGGGCGTGGGCAAAGGACAGCCACTGGGGGTTTTCGGCGCCAGAAAGGGAGCAAATGGAAGTGAACATTCATGTGCAGAGTTGAAGTTAGAAAGGGGTAATGCTCATGGGTAAGGGGCAAGCAGATGAAGATAAGTCCAAGAAGAGGCAGCCAGTGAGGCAGAGGAGTAGAGAATGGTGTTGGGAGTCAAAGGAGAAATTTTCAAGACAGAGAAGTGGTTTTTAGAGTCCAATGCTTGTTACAAGGAAGCAAGTAGGATAAAGATGAAAAAAACATGCACAGAATTTAGCACAAGGAATATTAATGACCTTGAAAGGGATAATCTTGGAGGAAGGGTGGTGAACTGCTCTAAGCTGGGGACCACAATGGACATGGACTAGAGCCTGAAATGTGGCAACCTGAAGCCAAAGCCAGGATGCGAAGGGAAGGCAACTGAAGGGGAGGTAGCCCGCAGGTCAGAACCAAATTTACGGGCGCAGACACTCCTGTCCGGTGGCCTCAATGTTCTCTATGAACCAGGTATTGGGACCATTCGTTGAGGGGGTAGCGCAGCAGGAAATGAGCCAGAGAGATATTAACATTTTCTGTTTTTTTCTGATATTAACATTTTCAACAGCTGCCTGGGAGAAGGGGAGAGAAGTGCCTGGGCCACGGGGATCAGCAGCAACCCCAGGCCCCCACGCAGGGCGACGCCACTGCTCAGCTGCTCAGGGCACAGGGTGCACACCACCACCCTTGGGGGTTAGTGAGTTGGGAGAGAAGGGAGCATCGGTGGCCAGAAACAGAAGCGTGGCTGCTGCTCTATGAACCAACGGAACCCGCCCAAACTGATCACGATTTCATCCAGGACCGGTTTCTCTGCTCCAACTCTCAGTGGGGAGTGTTTCTTCCCATCATTCCAAACACCATCCTGAAGAGTCACATGCTCCCCAGTTCTGCTCCCCTTTCCCTCGAGTTTCACTCCAACCCAGTCTACTCACATCTGCTCACATCTGTCATCTACACCACATCTCTTACCTGCCATACAGCTGACGCTCCAGCCACAGGACTTTGGGCTGATAAGCTTTTCTAGGACACACAAAATGCTTTAGACTAAAAAAAAGCCAAACTTCGAAAATAAGAGCTCAAAGTCAAATTGGCAGTTATCTTAAATGAATACAAAATATAACATATGTCAACTATATGTTGCATATATATATGCAACTTTAATATAATTAGGTAAGAATTATATTTAATAGTGATATGGATGCTTCTCCCCTTGGAGGACCTTACTGATAAAGTTAACATCTAATAAAGATATTTTCTTCTTCAGTATAAAACTGATAAAGGATTACCCTTTAGAATATACCAGAATCCCAGCAAATCAAGATTAAAAACCCCTAATTAAAAAAAAAAACTTGAAAACAAGAACTGAAGGAAATGAATAAGCAGTTCACAGAAGCTGCAGTCAAATGACTAACAGGTATTTGAAGAAAATCTCCAAACGGGTGAGGAATTGGGGGGTATTAAAATTAAAACAATAATCAGATACCCCTTCATACCTGACAGAGGTGCAACTGCTAAAATGGTGGATACCCACTGATGTGGGAGACAGGACTGATCTGACAATACAGAGGGCGGTGTGAAGCCTCGCTTGGAGTCAGTGGTCCCCTCTGTTACAGATCCCAGAGGCATTCCAGCACTAGCCCAGGGCAGGATGCAAAGGGTCCCCACCCTTGCATAACTTGTGGAAGAGGGTGTCAGAGGCACCCAGGTGTCCAGGAGGCAGGATGGGTAAGTGCTGGATGCAGACCATAAAATGATAAGAAGCCCTGAGAAGCTCAAACCATGTTATAGTACATGGTTAGATTTTTTTTAATGGTGTTGAATGGATAAAAGACATGGAATGTAATTATCATTTATAGAAACTTAAGACATACCCAGATGAAACAACATTGTTTTAGAAGGTCACAAACATATTCACTGTCTTGCACGTTAAGACCCCAGGTCCCTCTCCTCCCTGCTCTCTTTTCCTTCACCCTGAGTGTTTGTGTGTTTGTTTTTTATGGCACTGGAGTATCTGCCCCAGGAGGCCAGGGACCTTGTCTGTCTTGATGACTGATGAATCTCTAGCTCCTAGAATAGCCCCTGGGACACTGCAGATGGTCAATAAATATCTGTAACAGAATAAATTAAAAAAACGGACATATAGCTAATAGAAAGTGAAAACTAAGAGGGGCAAGGGGGGCAAGTAGTAGCGATAAATATAAAGTTAAATAAGGCAAAGAAGGAATCTTGCCTAGATACGTAATGGTGGTGTCATGACTGATATCAAATATATATTTAAGTATAATTAGAAATTATTATAAATTATTTTATCACTATCAAAATTATTTGTCAAATGGTAAGAATGCCATCACCTGCCTGTCCCTCCTCCTCTGATCTTGCTGTCCCACAGATCACTATGTTGCAGTCAAGAAGGCCTTTGCCAATTCCTAGGCTACTCTTACCATTTCAAGACCTTTGCACAAGTGGTTCCTTTGCCTACATTTTCCCTTAGTTCTTTCTTCAAATAGTCAGTTCCTTGTCATTCTTCAAATTTCAGCTCAGTATCACTTCCTCAGAAGGGATTCCCCTAACCCTGCTATTTGGTACTTTACTTTCCCCCAAGTTGCGATGACATCATTTGTTCATTATCTTGCCAAGTTCTAGGATACTTTACTCAGGGATCTTGTCTACTGTAAAGTATGCCCAGCACCTGTCAGAGTAGGCACTCAAATATTTGCTGAGTGAGGTGATCGATCTTAAGGTATATGTAGGACAGGTCTTACAATAAAACCAGAAGGGGGCCTCCCTATTGGCTTAGGGCTTTAGCTCAGCGCTATCACTGCTAAGGCCTGAATTTCATTCCCTGCCAGGGAGCTGACCACATGGCACAACAGACCTCTCCTGTCTCCCCATCTGCTCTCTTCCCAGAGTATTTCAGCCTGTTTTGTTCCCTACTTTGTCTCTGATGAATCCTCTCACTCCCTCCCAGGCTCCCTTGACCTCTGGCCTATACCCTATACCTTATATCCAAACGGAATAAAATCTTATTAAAAAAAAAAAACAAAAAACAGAAGGGAAGACAATTAGGAGAAAACAGGAGTCTTGATGAGGTCAAAGAACTGGGGCGAAAGGGTGGGTAGAAGGGGCTAGAAGAGGCTGTGGTCAATACACCACCTCCATGGAAATGCTGTTAAGTGGTTAATGTGCTGGGATGAGGGGATCATAGGCAAAATTATTCCTTTAACGTGTCCAATATTGTTACAATATTGTTCATCTAAAATAAAAATTAAACAGGAAGTGTTTCTGTGGTAACAGTCATTCCACCACCCAGTTAAAGAAGGCATTACCCATAAAAAGAACTAAAACCAGGCCCGCCCTGGTGGGGCAACGGGTTAAAGCGCATCACTATGAATCTATGGCTGCTGCACAGTTGATCCCCTGCCAGGGAGTTGACCTACATGGCGCAGCAGAGCTCTGCTGTCTCGCCTGCTCTTGCCCTCACCCTCAGCAGAGTGTTTCAGTACATCTGCCTGTAGTGCTCTCGTCTGTCTCTGATGAATCCTGCCTCCACGCCCCGCCCTTCTGGCCCTTACCCCAGCTCTTGTATGCTAAGTAAATAAATCTAAAAGAAAAACCCAACCCAACCCAATGCTTTCTGTGTAGCAAGCACTGTTCTAAGCACTTACGTGTATTTATTCATTTAATTTTCTTTTATATTCTCAAATGTTTATTAGGAAAAGGAGACTGAAAAAAGACCTGCGTAAACACAGATGGAGTCTTGCGAGGAGAGCCGCTATTCATTTCATTTCCAAAACGCCCCTATGGCAAGGGTGCCACAGTTCCATTTCACTCTGATCTCGCAGGCACTGCTCAGGCAGGGATCTGAGCCTTGAGCTAACTCCGGAGCCCGTGTCTTCCCTGCCGCCTGGAGTTTCGGTAGAAACCGGCTAGCCAGGACACCCGGCTAGCGGTCCCGGGTTACCTGGGCGGTGAGCGTCACCTGACTTCCGGCAAGGGCTGTCCCAAACGCGGCCGGTAACCGCAGCGCGAGGCACGTGGGCGGCGCGGCCCGGCCGCCGCCAGGTCTCGCGCCCTGGACTCCGGAGGGACAGCTCACCCCGTCGCCTCTCGCCCCAGCCAACCTCCTGCGGGAGTTGCCCGCGGATTGGCTTCCTCCTCCACCTACCTCCCCGCGGCGACCAGCTTCTGGAGAAAAGTGTCCACCATGGTGTCCAGCAGCTTCACCCTCGAAACGGCAGCGCTACAGGGCACAGATTCCGGGGACGAGGCCTCAGGCCCTTTTCCTTCACGCTCGCCACCTACATCGACGCGGCTCGCTTCGGCCATGTTGACGTCGAACCGCCAATTCAGAGCGGCCCCACCGGCCCGCCCACCGGAGCCCCCGATTGGCCGCTGCGGAGTGTCTATCATCGAGCCCGCGGGAAGAGGAGGGGCCGCCCGAGGTTCTGCAGCGCCGACTTGCTGGCCCACCGGACGAAAGGAGCGCAAGCCGAAGCTCAGGGCTCAATAAAAATTTTTAATTACATTTCATAGACTTCTTACAGTGCAGTAGTGAATGTTTTCTGTTATTTATCACAAGAGTCCACTTTATCAAATGTTTACTACAGCTGCATTTTCATTCCCCAGTCCCTCAACAGTTGAGGCTTCCCGGCTGTGCAGCTTCCCAGAAGTTTCTCCTGTTTTTGCTAGGAGCCAATAATACATAGCAATCATCCCAGCTGATCCAGTCTAAGGTCCTGGGAAAAAGGAAGCCCCCTGTCCCAACCCCACCATGGCACTTTAACCCAAGCATACTCCCTAAACTATTAAATGGAAAGGAAGGGGTCAGGAGTCCCTTTCGTTATTTACACATCCTTTAAAAGTGTGCATGGGAGGGGGGTGAAAGTCTGTTTAATACTGTAGAAGAAAGTAAAACAGAAGGAAAGGAGTCTGGAAGGGAAGAAACACAACACATGGAAACAGGGCCTAGCTCCTGGTTTGTGATACTTTGCCACTATGAGGAAGGACTAGACAGTTTCTAGGGAGGGGAAGGTATGGAGCTGAAGAAATTGGTCTCCAAAGGTCTCATCAGTTAAGTTTAAAGAGGAAGATGGGGGGCTTTGGCTTCCATTATATCATGATTCTTATGGTTAAGGGGTGACTGACAGGCAGGGAAGATTCAGAATGATCTGTGGGTCTAATCTTTGGATGAACACATGTGAATAGAAATTGGAGGGCTCTTAAAATGCAAGGGACAAATAGAATTTGAAAATCATGATAAGTGAAAGGGACAATACCTCTCAAAGATAAGGGACCCAGGCAGGCAGCGGGGTGGTGAAGCCAGAGTAACATGGGTTTCAGCTTCTGATCTGGCAGGTGACAGAATGTGGGGTCACCGTAAGAAATATCAAGGTAGCTAGCACCTTTCAAATTGGCACCATGGCCTTTCCCAGGGGGTGGGACCAATAAGGTTTGAAGGCTCAGCTAAGCCAAATGTCTCAAGTAGAAATGCAGAGTTTGACATGCCCTCCTCTCATTCCACTTACTGCACCTCTCTCTCCTAGGACACAGACTTGGAGGAGGAGGTGGGGAGTAGCCAGGAGGATGAGAAAGGGAAGAAGGAGCGCTCATCTCGCTCCTGAGAGCTTCCACAGATAATCTCGGCAGTATCAGGCTGGTAAATGCAGTGGTCTTGGTCTTGAGTGACTTCCTGATCTGCTCTTTTTTCTTCCAAGCATCCCTCCAGAGGGTACCGTGACTAGAATGGCTCTTCACAGTAGGGAGAAGAAAAACAGACACATTCCACATTTCAGGGATTCCCATTGTGAAGCATGTTTCCAGGAGGCCAAGTGATTGTGTCTGTCGAGTGGCTGGGCTGAGACCCCCCAAGCCCTCTCCTAGGCTAGGCTCACTGGTCTGGGGAGATGCACACTTACCCTCTTGGCATTTTTTAATCCAATTACTTGTGACCTGACTCTTCAGGGTTGTGCTCCATGGCCAGTGTGCCCCAGACTATGTCCACCACTCTTATCACATGGGCCAAGGGAAACTAACAGCTTATATTGTCCTGGGGCTGCTTGAACTAAAGGGAAAATGGAGGAACAAGGAACAGGGATTGAGGGAAAAGCTATATTACATTTTTCCACATGTCTGAGGGAGGGGTGTGCTCTGACTGCAGGACTGGGTGTTTTAGCAGGAGTACGACAAGTAGCCTAGTTCACAGATGTTAAAAAATATCCACAAAATTAAGTATCAACATTTCTCCCCAACCTAGTACCTCTTCAAAGAGAGGACTAGTGTTCTAGAGAACTAGAAGTTTGTGCTGCTATTACTCCCTGTGCAAAAGTACCTGGCACCTTGCCTCCAATGACAGGGAGAAACTGATGGGCATCTCAGTCACAAAATAAAAATGACCAAGCCTAAGAGATGAAGCAGGATGGGATGCTTGGAAACCTGGCTGGGAGCCCCAGAGGAAGAACCAGCGGTAGTCAGCAAGCTCTATGTACAGCTCTTTTCAGGATCTGAGGGATATAGCTGGCATCGGAAGAAATGTGAACAGGGCAGGTAGAGTGGGGGCCGGTGGGGGACCAGGTGGGTTTCCTTACAGCAGGACTGAGGACTCAGGACTGAGTGTGTGTGGGGGGGCAGTTTGACAAGAGAATGAAAAATGAGGGCAAGAATCCAGGTATGGAACCTCTTCCACAAGAGCAGTTCCAAGTCTCTGTCCCAGTCCCAGACAACCCATCTGGCCCAAGACAGGGCTAGGTCAGTAGTGGGGACACTGGAGAAGGTACTCTCCTCCCCACTCTGCCCCTGACCCAGGCAGTGTTGGGAAGCAACAGGCTTCTCCCCATCACTGTTACCAGTGTCTCGAGTCCACCAGCTCAGGTCGAAGGCTGAGTTTCTTGAGGCTCTCGTAGCCCACCACAATGACAATGGTGGAGGGTGTGGCTGAGATGATTCTGGCTGACAGGCCCTTCATGAGGCCCCAAGGACCTTCTTCTGCCATCAGCTGTCTGAAAGTCAGGATGATGGAGTTCTTGCCCTCAACCTGCAAAAGTTAGCACATTGGAGGGCCGCGGCCTGCACTCAGAGCCCCTCTGCACAATCTCCCTCTGCCTTAGGCTGGCGTGGGAAAAGCAGTCAGAGGACAGTACCACGCAGTGAGTGCAGGTGGACTCTGGTGCACACTGCCTGGGCTGCAATTCTGCTCCCTAAGCTATTTAATTCTTTGCACTCAGTTTCCTCAAATATAAAACAGTGATAACTGAACGCATTATGAGCAGTAAAAAAAAAAAAAAAATTCTTGGGTCCTCTCTGGTGGCACAATGGGTTAAAGCCCAGCACTATGAAGCTCTCTGCAGCCACTACAGGTGGGTTTGATCCCCAGCCACGGAGGTGACCCACATGGCATGGCAGACCTTACCTGTCTCGCCCGCTGCTCCCCTTCAGTCAATCTACCTGTTCTGGTCCCTACTCTGTCTTTGGTGAATCCTCTCACCCACCCCGTACCTCTGGCCTGTATCCCAGTTCTTACATGCATAAATATGTAAATCTTTAAAAAGCAAATTCTTAAATAAGAAAATAGCATCCTATAGACAATAAGTGCTGAATAAATGTTAGCTACTGTTTAATTGTCAGCAGGGAAGCACACAGCATGAGTCTTTGGCCTGAGAGATTCTCTGGTCTTGGAAAGGCTGGATTACACCATCTGTAAGGTCCTCTGCAGCTCTCCCAAACTGTGATTTTGATTCTATTTGTTTCAATCCCTCTGAAACTCCACAGCTAGAGCCTCCCCTCCAGCCCTGCTGTCTTCCAATCACCCTGTGGCCTCTCTTTCCTATGATGCTGGAAGCCTTGCTAAGGTAACTCGCCCCTCTTCTCTCTGAACATCCTGCCACCAAACTACACCTTTACAGATGTCCTCGCTGGCCCCATGCAGGACAGATGCACTCCCTGTCCAACCTCCCCATCCGCTGTGGGCTTCTCCGTGGTGTTCCATGTCTCCCAGCACCCTTCAGCACCCTCCTCCTCAACACTCTCATCGCCACCTGTACTCGCCAACCCTCACATTCATCCACAGCAACACTGGGGTCCCCAACTATGCCTCCGCTCTCCACGTGCACTTTGTCTCCTCACGCCTAGGAAGCCCTCGAAATAGAGGCCTGTCTTTGCCCTTGGATCCTCTGCTCTAAACACCCAGACAGGCCTAGGAGACAATGCGGACAGAACCTGTGCATTTATTATTTGCAAACCAATCTGGTATCCATGTATTCATTTTTAAATGGAGGGCGCGGGAAGGGATCAGGCAGGTCTCTCTTAGGGATAAAAATAACTAGATTTACGTGCTACCTCCATCCCATCATCCTGGTACCAGGGAATCTGACCTCACCTCCAACTTGTTATTTTCCTCAGGCCTCCCTGGTGGCCTAGGGGTTACATTTCCAGTACTAAACCTGCTACTGCCTTAGTTCGATCCCCGGCCAGGGAGGTGACGACCCACATACAATGCAGCAGACCTCTCTTGTCACCTACTGTTCCCCTTCGCACTGTATTACTTTTTTTTTTTTAAGGTTTATTTATTTATGTTTACAAGAACTGGGGTGTAGGCCAGAGGTAGGGGGGCAGTGAGAGAATCCAACAGAGACAGAGTAGGGAGCAGAATAGGAAGATGTACTGAAATATATTCTCAGCAGGGTATTTCAGTAAATTTGCTCCCCGCTCTGTCTCTGGTGACTCTCCTCACCCCCATACCTCTAGCCTATACCCCAGTTCTACATAAAAATAAATCAATAAAATCTTAAAAAAAAAGTTATTTTCCTTCCTTGCTTTCATCACAACCAATGACCCCACTGGCTGGAACATCTTTCATCCTAACCTTTCCTCTTAAGCTGCCCAAATCAGACATTAAAGACTCCCCTCACCCTCACGTATGGTACAATTTACCACTTATATATATTATACATCATCATTCTAAGTTCCTGGGTCCTTGAGCTGACTGAAGGTAGGGAATATAATTTCTGTTAGTATTTTTGCTGAGTCCACACAGCACAATTCAAGGACAGTCACTCTCATTGTCTGAGAGACTCCACAGTCTACTGGAGAAACCAAATAAACTTCAAAATTGAAATGAAATAGGTGTTTCTAGTAATCACAAACCTACAAGGTAGGGTCACCCTGGGGGCACACGGGGTTAAATCTCGGCACTATGAAGCTATCAGCAGCCACTGCAGCCGAAGTGTGACCCATAGGGCACAACAGACCTCTCCTGACCCATGTGGCTGTTCCCCTCAGCAGTGTATTTCAGTAAATTCACCTGTTCTGCTCCCCACTCTGTCTCTGGTGAATCTTCTCTCCACTCCCTTAACAGCTCTGGCCTGTTCCCCAGTTCTTGTATGCATAAATAAATCAATCTTAAAACAAAAAATTACAAGCTAAGAAAAGGTGACTAGCAGGCTGTGCTAACAGGACTAAAGACTGGAAGGAACTAGTAAGAATTCTTAGACACAGTCAAGTAAAGGAGCAGAGGCCTGCAAAGTAGCAGGATGAGAGAAACATTCTAGGTGTTCCCAAAGTGCCCTGCTAGTTTCTGTAAATGGCAACGGTAATTGCAGGAAGGAGCTTGGATGACCAGAACAAAGCTGACTGGACTAGAGGGCCATGGACTAGAGGGCCATAAAGAGGGTAGGAGACAAGGGGGTGGGGGGTGGTACCCGAAGACCAAACATTTCTAATGGCTAATCTGAGAGGAAGGTGGGGGAAGAAACTGGTCTTACCTGCACTCGGGTTCGGATCACATCCATGGGGTTGGTGAGGATGGAAGCAGTGGCTGCAGCCAGAGGCCCAGAGATGGCTTGAAAGACAATGTGAGGGCACTCCTTAGGGCAGAGGTGCGAGAGCTGCTCTGGAATCAGAGGACAGACACTGTCTCAGGATGTGAGGTATCACCCTGGCCAGCCTCACGCTGTTTCTACCAGTTGGCCTTCCCCTGAGAACAGATCCTCCTTCCTTAACCACCTGAGACCCTGGTTTTTCTTTTCTCTGCTTCCATCTGAACCAACAAAAATTACAAATCTAAGCTCCTGTACAGAAGTCATCTCTGTCATATCACACTTTGAACAGGACAAGACTACTCTGGAGAGGGGGATTTCAAAATCACTCTGCTTGCTGATGGCTTTAATCTGACAGAAATTCTGGTTTAGGAGCTGTGGTGCAGGGGTTAAAGATAGTGCTATCAAGCTATGGCCAGCCACTGCAGCCTGAGAACGATTCTCAACCAGGGAGCTGCCCCACATGGCACAAAAGACCTTCCTGTCTCGCCCGCTGCTCCCCTCAGCAGTGTACTTTAGTCCATCTGCCTGTTCTGCTCCCCACTCTGTCTCTGGTGAATCCTCTCACCACCCCCTACAAACACACACCTCTGGTCTATACCACAGTTCTTCTATGCAAAAATAAATAAAAAAAAATTAAAATTAAAAGAAAAAATCATCTCCTACAGTGAGAACTTTTTTCCCCAGTCCATATCAAGAAAGAAAAATTCCTTTTGCAAAATAGTACAGATTTGCCATTCCTAGTATCAAATTTTTGCTTTACCCTCTCTCTCTGAAGGTAAAAGACAAAAAGTTCATTATGCCTGATCCTCTCAACTCCCTTCAAAGCCTTAGAAATTTATACTCTGTACTGAGGGGAAACAAGTAAAAATCAAATTGTGTAGGGCCCTCTCTGTTGACACAACGGATTAAAGCACAGCACTACAAAGCTGGCCACAGCCGCTTCAGCACGGGTTCCATCCCTGGACAGGGAGGTGCCCACATGGCAAGACAGACCTCTCCCGTCTTGCCGCTGCTCCCCTCATCAGTGTACTTCATCAATCTGCCTGTTCTCCCCTCTCTGTCTCTGGTGAATCATCTCGCCACCCCTGCACTTCTGGCCTGTACCCAAGTTCTGTATGCACAAGTAAATCTTGAAAACAAACAAACGTGTAACCATGTTAGGAGATGATGTGTGCTAGCTAGGCATAAAGATAAAACGGGAAATGGAAAATAGGAGAACAGCAAGGGTGAAGGTGACTACCCTAAAGAAGAGTAGTGAAAGTCCTTTTCAAGAAGATGAAATTTGGGGCCCTCCCTGGTGGCGCAGGGAATTAAAGCACTGCACTGAGAAGCTAAAGCCACTTTACCATGAGTTCGATCCCCACCCGCCCCGGAGGTGACCACATGGCGCCGCAGACCTCTCCTGACCCGCCCGCTGCTCCCCTCAGCAGTGTACCTCGTTGATCTGCCTGTTCGGCTCCCCACTCTGTCTCTGGAGATTCCTCTCACCAGCCCTGCACCTCTGGCCTGTACCCCAGTTCTGTA